CCCAAACAAGTCATGCACTCCTCACTCTCTACTTACCTTTCTGTGTGTATTGAGTCTATTGACAAATCATAGTAAGATTATGTTCCAATAATCATTAGTTATTTTAACCACTAAACACTACGACCTTATACTTATATGCTAGTACCATTTGCCATAATTATTTCTGAGCACGCAATATATGTTTTTCTACTCCAATATAATACTCTTTCTGTTCCCCATAGTTAATGTCTTAATTTTTTATTTTGTTCCATAAAAATTGATGTTTTGTAGAAAATTATTATTATTTTCATTTGAGACCAATAGAAAGAAGAGATAAGTAAAATTAACATTATTAAAATAAAAAAAAGAAATTGAAATTGTGTGAAAACCCAAAGCATCATTTTTTGAGAAACAGAGGGAGTAGTCTTTTTCTGTTTTATGTTAACTGATGTTTAAGGTTCTTTCACATATATTTAGATATCACAAATTTTTTATTTAATTTAATATACTTTGTTTACATAAAAACATTATCAACTACAACAGATTAAACTAATAAAAAAACATATTGTAAATAAAATTGATAAAAAAATTATTAAATACATTTAGTTTTTGTATGGAAAGTTGAAAACATCAAACAAACAAAAAAATTTCTAAAACATATATTGTCGGTTTGTCACTGAAAGTTCGCTGTTCAAAAAAATTGGAAGTTATAATTTTGGTTACCTCGTTATTACAATTCCATACGTCTAATACCACCTAAAATGTTGATCCCTATGGTTCGAAAAACATTGGGAACTTTCATGCATCAATTGATCATGCAGTACAATCTCATTGCCTAGGATTCTAAGTGAGATAAATAATTTAAAATTCATACATGTGAAGGAAAAAAAAAAAAAAATGAATGTTAAATTAACAATAAAACGCTAGGTTTTCATCGAGCGCAACAAAAATAAAGAACATTTGTAGAAAAAGACAAAAGGGAGATTAGGCAACTAGTTTAATCATTGAAGATCCGGTCATCAAAGTTAGGAGAGCAACCTCAATGGGAGTTTCTAAACATGATCTTTAATAAATAATAAAATATATGTTATTTAAATATTAGATGGGTACTTTAAATTTGGAGAAACTTAGTTCAATTGTTTCTTAACTAAGAAACAATTAGGTTAAGTTTCTCCAAATTTAAAGTACCCATAATTAAAAAATATTATTTATCTATACTTACACTTTGATATTATTTAAGAAACCAATGTTTAGAAACCTCCATTGAGGGTGCTCTGAGTTACTTCATGCTCATGGTTTCAGTTATGATAAAATATTATTATTTGAGAAGATTATTAATACAAACAAATTACTTACTTTTTCTGTTCCTAAAAGAATGATGTTTTGAGTTTTGCACATAAATTTTTTAAAAATAATTTTATATTTTTAATTATTATTTTATTAGTTAAATAATATTATTTTTATTTTTCTCCTTTCTATATTGGTCACAAAAAAAAATTATAATTATATTTTTACAAAACATCAATCTTTGTAAAACAAGTAAAAAAACCAAAACATTAAATAACTATGAACAAATGGAGTATTATAGAGTCCATACAAATAAAAGAATAAAAAATTCCCACGGTCTGTTATTATATACGTACGCATCTATTTTTACCATCGTAATTGGCTCTTTTTATCTTCTACTACGTTTTTTTTTTTTAAAGATTTAATTATAGCATGGGCGACACTTTCTTCCACCGGTATTTCTTCCGATCTATGGTTTTCCTTCGGATGGTGACTTTATCCGTGTTCGTGCTTACACCGGCGACAAACATTCACCACTTTCATGTCAAGTGGATATCAGATCCGAAGGCAGAAGCGAACCCGTCTCATGGGACGATAATACCTCTGGTCGATGAAAAAGGAACCGTTTTGTGGGAGTCTCAAGTCTATATACCATGTCTCATCCGGTCTTCCGTGGTGAAGGTCTTTTCCGGCGAAGTCGCCGAGGCATATCCGGTATGTATTACCGAGTTTTTATCGAAACTAACATATTTTGTTAGTTTTATGGTAGTCTCCGAAGACCACTGTTTCGTGGCTTTTCGATGGTTGATACAAATCTCTTTGAATTTGTTAATGAGACAACGACCACCACGAAAACCGCCATGGAATCAACCCACAACGGAGGATGGAGATGCGACTATGATGCGAATCAGAAGATCAGATCAACAACAAGTATGGGTTTACGCTACAATCACAAAACTTCATATCTCTTTCTTCAGGAGAGTTCCCAAATCTAGGGTCTTGCGATGTAACGGATGGATCGCAGACTTTGACTTTCGAAAGCGTAAAAGATGGTGCATCGATAAAAAGAAGATGTTTCCCAAGCTAGAGAGTCACACAAGATTGACGGATACGACGAAAGCAACTAAGCATATCATTCGGATTGCGACGCTTGAACTTTTTTGCTTTTTCGTTACAAATCTATTTGATTGTGTTCATACCTTTATGTTTTAACAATGTAATCTTTGGTCCACATTAATAAAGTTACGATTTGATGTTAAAAAAAAAAAAATTTTAATTAAAGCGTAATTTGTTACTATAACTCGTAAGTCGAAACCCATAATGACATGTGTTGAATTTTTTTTATGGTTGTTATTTGAATTCAATGGAAGTTACGTCATTGATGGAGAATGGTTGCAATGTTTCATTGTATATATCGTGTATATTAAATATTGGTCGGTTGCTAACGATGCATTTGTTGCATCTACGAGAAGTCAAAATCTCAGTTGAGTCGTGACTTTAGACTGAACTAAAAATACCACTTTACATCAATACTAATTAGTTAGAGAAAACCGTATATAGTCATGAGCCATGACTCATGAATTTGGGTTACATATATCAATTAGTTTTGCATCTGGTTTTCTCGTGGATTATAATATAGTAGTTATAGAGGGAGATTTTATATACAAGCAAGGAAGATTTATAATTTAGGGATAAACGTTTAGATGTAAAAATAAATAACTTACAAAAATAAAATGTCTATCTTACGGACCAGTTATAATGGATAAATTATGTGTATAAAATTATTAGTGGTATGTCTTGTGGCTCTAGACAGCGAAAACGTATTCGATTGATGCAAATTTGTTCGGAGCTATCCATGAATATAAATAATTTTTGGGGGGTCAGATATGTCATTTGAATTTATTTTACTATTGACTTTTTGACTTCAAATTTTATCGACTTTATAGTATAATTAACACCAAATGACGCTAATTTACTAATTAACATCAAATTGCGCCGCTAAATCACGCGGTTCCATGTGATCAAAGTCCCTGGAGTGGATTTGCTTGTTTGGTCTCATTCTCACGCCAATTAAAAGGTGTCTTTAAAGACTATGATTTGGCCAGGGATTACTTAACTATACCACGAATCAATTATCTCACTGATTTATAAGAGATATCTCAATAAAAGATCTAATAAATTTTAATTAGATCAAATCTATGATTTTAATAATTCTAAAACCTTTAAAGTTGTTGAAAAAAAAAAAAAAAAAAAAAAAAAACCTTTAAAGTTTAAACCATGACCATCTAATGAGTAGTTTGGTTGGAGAACGAAATGGATCCTATCCATCCGTTGGTTGATAATTATTACTCGTGACCTAAAACTTAGACTATATAGGGTTTGCTGTCAAGCAAGTATTCAATAAAAAAATGCACATTTATATAATTACTTTGTTTAACCGCATTTTCACAGCACTTGTTAAAGTTTCAATTATGAAACAGCTATAATTTTATAGTGATTATGTTCACATTAATCTCATGAACGGCAATATAGAGATCGATGGATTGTTGGGTTAGATAATTTGATTTAAGAATATAATTCTCTTACAACAGGACAATAAATATTTTCAAAAGAAAAAAAAAAAACAGTATAATAAATAATTGTATTGTTTTCGATTCAACTTATTGCTTTGCAAAATAATGTAAGAAAACATGTGAAATTATTATAGTAACGGCCTAACGGGTAACATACCAAAATGATCTAATTATTTAAAATTTTCGTAAGATTTTTACTTTTAGAATTTCATTTCAGCCAAATAGTATTTTTGTTGTGGTGTCTTATCTTGATTAAGCCAAATGAAGCAATTGCCGACAAAAATAAAAGAAGCAAAGGACGCAATTAAATATTAAAATATTACCGCACGAGGCACCTTTTGAAAAGAATTATTCCATCGCATTGGTAAAATTATGTCAAATGACCGTCTAATCACACCATCTGATTAAGCGGTAACGTTTGTTTAACTAGTTCTAAATCCAACTAGTGTTTTGAATTCTGCGTGATCCGGCCGGTCGGACCTATAAACATGCGACTTGAACACTGGTTCGGTTTGGTTAAGTTAAAAAAGCGGGATTTTTTCTTTTACCCACTAGAAGTCTAGAACTCAACAAGAAAAAAGTTCGGCAAAAACCAGTGATCCGGTTAAAATCCACACTAGGCCGGTCTTTAACACGCCAAATCACAAGAAAACAATTATCCTGGTAACCTTTGATTTTTAAATCACAAAATTTTTCATATATCTTCCTCTCTCTCTCTTTTTTTTCTTTCAATTTTTTATTATGTGATTAATTTATTTATTGATAATTTTTAAACGTTTAAGATAATTTAATTTCTACAAGACATACAAGAACTAATAAAATCACACACACACACACACACACATATATATATATATATATATATATATATATATATATATATATATATATAGCATGTTATTTGATCAAATTTGATTTTCTTGGATAATTCTTATGCTGATCTTTTGAATAATTTTAGGAATAATTAATTTAGTTTCAAATGATTACTCTAGAAGGCATTTACTTAAACATAGCCTCTGATGATAATAGTTCCGACAAAAATGAAAACAAAACATACTATATATATATATATATATATATATACACATACATGTATATATATTTAATTTAATTTTACAAATTTAATATATATTAAAATGTGTGATATTTATTGTGATGGGGATTCATTGAAACTGGAAGACAACTGTAGAGAAAGTGCCCCATAGAAGAAGATCTTCATAGTACTATCCATCTCTTTACTCTCCTTCTCTCTATCCCTCTATATCTCTCTCTCTCTCTCTCTCACCCACATAGAAAACCAGCAGTAGTAGCAGTAAATTGCTTGAGTTCTTGATGACAGAGACAATATCTTAAATGATGAAGAGAAGAGAAGAGAAGAGGAGCAATAAACCTTGGCGGCGTTTGCAGCAGTTTCTTAAATTTCCCCACCATCATTACTCTCTCATCTGCTCCCAAATCTGCTCCTTCTAAATACCAAACACATCTCCAAGTCTAGCTAGAAATTAATGAGCTAGAGAGTAAAACAGAAAGGTAAACACAAATCCCCAAAAATAATTCATTCACAAACCCCCAAAAGTCTCATAAATCCTCTCTTTCTTTTGGTTAGTGTTGGGGAAGTAGAAAAAAATGGCTGGATTGTTCTATCTTGGAGGGAGAGATCACAACAAACAAGATCATCATCAAGACAAGGATCATAATGAAGACAAGAGCAACAATTATCTCTATCTATACAAAGACGAGATCTACAACAACAACAAGGGTTTTGAGATTTTCCCACCTCAATATTTTCAACAACAACAACAACAAAATCATGTGGCTGCTCCAACAAATCTCTACTCTTTTGGTATGGTCCCGAGTGGTGGTATTAACATTAACAATAACCGGAGTACTAATCGGAGTTTGTACTTCAACGTCGTCTCCGATCATGAGCCGGTGAGATCCTCGACGGGAGGGTTTACGGTAACTAGGCAAGGAAACATGAATTGCCAAGACTGTGGGAATCAAGCCAAGAAAGATTGTCCTCATATGAGATGTCGTACTTGTTGTAAGAGCCGAGGGTTTGATTGCCAAACACACGTGAAGAGCACGTGGGTCTCGGCTGCTAAACGCCGTGAGAGACAGGCTCAGTTAGCTGTTTTGCCAGCTAAGCGGATAAGAGACACTAACTCAAGCGTTGGTGGCGATGACGATGATGACAGAGAGGACGAGAAAAATGGCGGTGGAGACGACAGTTGTGGGGGTGGCTCGGCTCTTGCTTGCACCCGTGTGGTTAATGGTAATTCTTCAGGTATGAAGACGATGAGTTTTTTAATTAATTAACATCGAGTAAATTTAGAAACTTTTATTGAGACGATCTGATTACATAAAAAATAAAAAAAATTATTTGACATTGTATTTTGGACAATGAGAAAGCAACAATATTATTTGATTGTGAATAGATGTCCACCGGCATTTTGCTGCTTTTTTTTTGCTGTTTGATTTTGATTAATACTTTTTTTAGTCACTGTTCTTTGGTAAACCTGACGACACAAAAGTTTTAATCGATTTTCATGAGCCTATATACTTATCAAATTAAGATTTAGTTTTTATTCAATACGTGACAGAAATTTTTTTGATGTAAAAATAAACAATGGTCAATTATGTTGTGTTTTCAAAGATTTCGACTATAGGATCAAGAACCAAAACGTTTTATGAGTTTTATAGTAGTTATTTGTGTTTATGAAATTAGGGTTAGAGAGTAGTCACTTACCGCCGGAGATAAGTTCCCCGGCGGTTTTCCGGTGTATGAGAGTCAGCTCAATCGACGATGAAGAAGAAGAGTATGCTTATCAAACGGCTGTGAGCATTGGCGGACACGTGTTCAAAGGCATTCTCTACGACCAAGGTCCATCAGATCACCACCGATACAGCTCAAGCGTCAACGCCGAAACTTCTCAACACCATCTTAACCTCATGGATTCAATCGCTTCAGCCGCTACTACAACCGCCGTGACCGCCGTTAATAGTAACAACGGATCGATTGACCCTTCTTCAATTTACACTGCGGTGGCGGCTCCGTTTAACGCCTATGTCACCGCCGGTACCTCTTTCTTTGCACCTCCTAGGTCTTGATATTTTAAACATTTGAAGATGTTAAAATCTTTAAAATTACGTTTGTGATTAATTATAACTACTCTTATAACTACCAGAGATCGATCTACCGTCTACGAGTACGAGAGATTATTTATTTGAGTATTTTTATTGTTGTCGGACAATATGGTGACTGTTCTGTTCGTACCTAGCTAGGGTTTGTGTACTGATTAACATGCACATCGTACGTTTTAGAGATAAATGAGATATTATGACTAAGTTTTTTTTGGGGATAAACGAGCTATTAAATTAATGTCAGAGTTTCAAATTTGATCTTCTGCTTGTTTACTTTAAAGTTTGATCTTCCCAATGTGATCAACATAACTTCTTTGTTTTTTTTATTCACCATTTTCCTATATATGTCTGAATTATTTTCAAAAAGTTTGGTCTTCTATATAAATAGGGTTTTAAAAAAAAAACTTATTTTCTTCTAAAACAGGGTTGGGTTTGATAGTGAGTTAGCTTTCTGGCTGGTGATGAACTCGAAGCTGCTTTTTCCCTGTTTATCCGTTTGCTTGCCGGATCTAAACAGGAACTTTACTAGGTTTCGTGTTCCATTGAGCAAACAATTTCAAATCTATTTATATAAAAGAAAAACTTTTCTGTTACCCAATCCAAATTTCCGCAGTAAAACAGTGGAAACCATCATTATAGTTCACGAATAATTTGTTATTTTTACATTTATGTATTATTAAAATTTTAATTTGTTACGAATAAGTTTTTTAACAAAAGCGAAGAGTAGGAAACTGCAAAATTTCATCATAAAAAAACTTTCCACGCTTAAAACAATTTAAGTAAATCCAGTCGTATCGTGCTAATGCTATATATTGTTTATTAAATTTTTTTTTTTTTTAAATTTGTGAATTTTCAATTGTCGGCGTTTCTTGAATGAGTAAGCTTGATCAGTTTTAGTGTATGAAACAAACGGACTAAACACTAATTAATCCTTGAATAAGTTTTGTTGTCGTTCTCACATGGAGATGACGACTTATCGCGGACGTTAGGTGTGATTATTGTGGAGAAAATAACATCAAAATTATGAGGACAACTCAGTGCATGTGAAGTATTAACTGTTGTAGATGAATGAATGTAAATGGAAAGTATTTTAGGGTACTTAAATCTACTAAACTACTTCTCTACAAAAACTTAGCATTTTAGCTATTTGGATGTAACTTGCATGATGTGACTATCATTGGATGTAGTATTATAGATTAACCTGATCTTAATTTTGTAACTTGTTCGATATCATTTTCATATACACATTGGTTTTATGAAAAGTTTCAAAAGATTTTAAATTTTTTAGAATTTTATTTTTAACGACATTTTTTGCCTAGTAACTACTAAAAAGTAGGTGAACAAAAAAAAAAAAACTACTAAAGAAAAATGGTATTAAGTATATCTTTAAAGGAGGTTTGGCAAACTTTGAAAATGAAAGAAACAGTTACTTGTTTAATTATTAGAGGAAATGTGGAAATTTATGTTGGAAATAAAGGGATACAATTGGGTCAAGAAGCTTAGTAAAAGTCAATGGTCAATGTATAAAAGACCACATAGATTTTAAAACATAGGTTTTTGATGCATCCCCACAACATCTGTACACCTAATTCGATTATGACTGATATGACATTCTATTTAACAAATCCTTTACCAAAAAGTCTTTACATAGTAAAAAATAACGACCATACGAAAATGTTCGTTCCTTAGATTTGATATTTTATTTTTGGTGTCTTAATACTTGTAAAAAAATACTACAAAAATTTTGGCCGAAATATATAAAGATTGGTCACTTATTTTTGTATCGATTTATATAAAAAAAAACTTTCGCATGAAAAAATGCAATTCCTACCTGCATTGGAAAAAATATAGAACAATCATGTAGAAATTGGCAAAGACCAAAATATTGTTTTTGCTCAAAAAAAAAAGTAAAGTGGATTTTGCATCTAATTTGTGGTGACACTGCCCTAAAGTCGCATGCAATTTCTAAATGGGCTCGGCCCAGTATGCATCATAAAATCGTCGGAATTTTCCTAGAGGACTTAATAATGGAGCTAAGTTGTTCTGAGTCTTCCCATGTTTATTATTCTCAGCCCGTGTAAATATGGAGAATTGGGGTCTCTTATTGATGTTAGGCTAGCTCAGGATCTTCTTCTGTTTCTTGTTTTTTTGGTGGTCTGTCTTAGTTGACTATGAGATGGTTGATGCTGAGTTATGGAACATTTCGAAGCTCTAAGTAATTCAAGAGTTTACGTTTTCTGTACTTGATAATGTAGTCACAGTTCCTATGCAAGAAAGAAAAGATGGGTTAAAGAATTATGTTTTCCTTATTTAGAAAGAGTCTCATTCAACTATTTGATATTTGAAAATTTCTTAATTTTCCTTATTTAGTGTTTTAAGAAAAGTCTTACGTTCTAAACTTTTTTTTTTCTTTCTCATATTCACTTTGTTTTCTCGTCACAAAACTCCAACAATATGTGATCCATTCTCCAAGAAAATGTACAAATCTCAATATATAGGTGGCCAGAGAGAAAAATTCGTAAGGTAAAAGAACAAAATCAACCCTTCTTTCACGATGTTAATTCAGATTTCTGTTAGATCTATGAATGTGAATTGTTGCTAACATCTTAAAAATACAGATTAGATGATACAGATTCGAGGGTATCAATGTCATCTAATGCTACGGGAATGAAGAAGCGATCATGTTTTGGATTGTTTAACCTAACTAGTCGTGGAGGAGGGAAGACAAAGAACACATCGAAATCCTTTCGAGAAGGCGTTAAAATCGGATCAGAGGGTCTAAAAACGATAGGAAAATCATTGACATCAGGTGTGACAAGAGCTGTTTTCCCTGAAGATCTAAGAGTATCTGAGAAGAAAATCTTTGATCCTCAAGACAAAACACTTTTATTATGGAACAGAATGTTTGTTATCTCTTGCATTCTTGCGGTCTCTGTTGATCCTCTGTTTTTCTATCTACCGATTGTCGATAACTCAAAGAACTGCATTGGAATCGACTCTAAATTAGCTGTGACAACTACTACTCTAAGAACGATCATCGATGTTTTTTATCTTACGCGAATGGCTCTTCAGTTTCGTACAGCTTATATTGCTCCTTCTTCTCGTGTGTTTGGAAGAGGTGAGCTTGTGATCGACCCTGCAAAGATTGCTGAACGGTATTTGACTCGCTATTTCATTGTCGATTTCCTCGCGGTTCTTCCCTTACCTCAGGTAGTTAATAAAATCCTTCAGTCTCTTGTGTTTTGTGCATTGGTTTCTTGAATTGATGATTTTTGGCGGTGTTGATGCAGATTGCGGTGTGGAAGTTTCTTCACGGATCTAAAGGAACAGATGTATTACCAACAAAACAGGCGCTATTACACATTGTCATCACACAGTACATACCAAGATTCGTTAGGTTTATTCCATTAACATCGGAGCTCAAGAAAACAGCAGGAGCTTTCGCTGAAGGTGCTTGGGCTGGTGCTGCTTATTACCTCCTCTGGTATATGCTTGCAAGCCACGTAAGCGTTTCAAAATCCATCCATCAGCATTAGGTTAAATACCTGAAAACAGATTTATTGTCTATTTGGTTCTGTTTCTAAAAAATGTTGTTATACTTTGACAGATTACTGGAGCGTTCTGGTACATGTTGTCAGTGGAACGTAACGATACATGCTTGAGATCCGCTTGTAAAGTCCAGCCTGATCCCAAGGTTTGTGTTCAGATTCTGTATTGTGGCAGCAAATTAATGAGCAGTCGCGACACCGACTGGATCAAATCAGTCCCTGATCTTTTCAAGAACAATTGTTCTGCGAAAAGCGATGAGTCCAAATTCAATTACGGAATCTATAGCCAGGCTGTGTCTTCTGGAATTGTATCTTCGACAACGTTTTTCTCCAAGTTTTGTTATTGTCTTTGGTGGGGTCTCCAAAATCTCAGGTAAAACACATTGAAAAACTGACGCATAAATGTTAACTTGTGGTGTAAATTTTCCTAACTTGGGTGTTTTTCGTGTACAGTACGTTAGGTCAAGGGCTGCAAACAAGTACCTATCCAGGAGAAGTTTTGTTTTCAATTGCAATTGCTGTAGCCGGACTTCTCTTGTTTGCTCTTCTCATCGGGAATATGCAAACTTATCTGCAGTCACTTACGGTTCGTTTAGAGGAAATGAGGATTAAAAGACGCGATTCCGAACAGTGGATGCATCACAGGTCACTTCCACAAAACCTGAGGGAACGAGTCAGACGTTATGATCAATACAAATGGTTAGAAACAAGAGGAGTCGACGAAGAAAACATAGTCCAGAGTTTACCAAAAGATCTTAGAAGAGACATCAAACGCCATCTCTGTCTGAACTTAGTTCGCAGGGTAGGTTTTCAGAAATGTGAATTGCCTAAGAATTCTACACACTTCAATCACAAGGAACAATGTTCTTTTTGTGTTTTTTGCAGGTTCCTCTGTTTGCTAATATGGATGAGAGACTACTAGACGCAATATGTGAGAGACTAAAGCCAAGTCTATACACAGAGAGCACTTACATAGTGCGAGAAGGAGACCCGGTTAACGAAATGCTGTTCATAATCCGAGGCCGGTTAGAGAGTGTAACGACAGATGGTGGAAGAAGTGGTTTCTTTAACAGAGGTTTATTGAAAGAAGGCGACTTTTGTGGTGAAGAGCTTCTGACTTGGGCACTTGACCCTAAAGCAGGCTCAAACTTGCCTTCTTCCACAAGAACAGTGAAGGCTCTAACTGAAGTAGAGGCTTTCGCTTTAGAAGCTGAAGAGCTCAAATTTGTGGCTAGTCAGTTCAGGCGTCTTCACAGTCGTCAAGTCCAACAAACGTTCAGGTTTTACTCTCAACAATGGAGGACTTGGGCTGCTTGTTTTATCCAAGCCGCTTGGCGTAGACACTTAAGAAGGAAAATCGCAGAGCTTAGACGTAAAGAAGAAGAAGAAGAAATGGATTATGAAGATGATTACGAGTATGATGATAATATGGGTGGTGTGGTTACAAGGAGTGATAGTTCTGCTGGATCAAGTTCTAGATTACGTTCCACGGTATTTGCATCAAGATTTGCTGCTAACGCGCTTAAGGGTCATAAGCTAAGGGTCTCCGAGAGTTCAAAGAGTTTGGTGAATCTAAGAAAGCCATCAGAACCTGATTTCGAGGCTCTTGATACAGAGGATTTGGGCTAAGTACTTATCATCAGGAAGATAAAAGTCAGTGATAAACACACTTCCAAACATTTCATTGTAAAACATACAAATTTACATCTATAACCAAAGCTATTACACACTTACACTTAAGACAAGATAAACAATTAGAACATATGATTGATATAAACACAAAAAATCAAGGAAACAAACATTTTTTAAGAAATTCAGGAATCCAAACCTAATTGGCCATACGATTCTCTTTGTGAAGCCTAAAGAAATAAGCTGCGGCGCTTAAGACGGCAGTAACCAAGGCAACACCTTTGAAGGCATCAAACTCATCATCCATGAAATTGAAGAAGATCACCACAAGAACCGAAACAATCGGCCATGTAATAACACTGATCACATTCGACAACACGCTCGAAACAGAGTAGACAAGTCCCACAATGCCAACCCAATAGACCTGCCACGAAACAGCTTGACCAACCATAGCCATCACATAAGAACCTTTCCCCTTTGAGAATCCATTCATCTCCCTCTTTAATTCGTGTTGCTCGCCGGCGATAAGCAGACCCACGACGGAGATGATTGTGGCGACGAGGGAAGAGAAGATTATGACTTCGAAAACAGAGGCAAAGCTTGGTTTTTTATTGGTCGATTCGGTTCTTTTGAAGATGTAACTGTCGAAGACGTTTTGGATGTTACAGAGAAGAAGAGCGAAACAGATTCCAGCGAACAGAGCAGCCCATGAGCCTCTGGCGTAATTCTCCTCTGCTTCATCAGGCTCACCGCCGAATGAAGAAGACAGAGTAAGAGCTCCAGTGATAATAGCTAAGATCACAGAGATAACAACCCATCGATTGAATTTGATTTTGTTGATGAAAGCTGCGAAAATCGGAGTAAAGAAAAGCTGTGTTGTGTAGATCAGAGTAAAAACACCAAATGGGATCTCGAGTTTTCCCATGGCGGCGAGTCTTCCTTGGACCGCCATGATAATTCCGATGCAAATGTAGATCACGGCTAAGGATTTGACGTGGATTGAATCGGAAGTGATCGGAGGTTGTTGATGATGATTGCGTTTGTTCTTGGTGATGAAGATGATAAAAGGGAGAAGAAGAAGAGGGAAACCAACGGTTTGGAGAAGAGATTGAGTCCAAACGCCATCGTTTTGACGGTTTTCGTTGTATTCGCTTCGGTTGATTTTGTCGTAGTAGAAGTTTTCGAGGAGTTTTGCTATTGATTGGCCGATGATGACGAAGATGATCGAGATGGTGATAGTTGGCCAGTGGTTTGGTTTCCGGTTTGTGTTTCCGGTTTGGTTCATGCGTGTGGTTGAAGAATCACGCTCGATGTTGATTGGTATTTGCACAAATTGTTCTGAAAAAAGAGAGGAAATTATAATAAGAATCAAATTGTTTTGCAAGAAGAGCGGAAGAGGAGATCAAGAAACCAGAGATCTGGTTTGTTAATTGTTAGTATTATTACCTGGTGGCTTGGTCTGAAAAATAGGTTGCTGATTCTGAGCCATGGATTGGAACTGATTGTCGGAGATTCTAAGCGATTTGAGTTCAAAGTATGTCGGCGATTAGATTTGGTTGTGAATATGTGATATTTTGAGTGGATGATGGTGTGGGATAAAGGAAAGAGAAGGGTTTATTATATATGGGTAAGAAAAGTCTACCCTGGCGGCGTAATGGTCAATCAAGCGAGCCTCATGTCTACGCGTCGTCGTTTTCAACTTGTTTCCGAGTTGCTTCGTCATCCAAAAAAGTGTGTAATTAACACTTAGAAGTAACTTATTCTTGTCTTAACAAATTCCAAGCATAATCGAGAAAAATGATGGGAATATTGAGGTTTTGAATATTGATTGTTTTCTCTCAACGAATATTCCGGATTGGATTTATGATTCGCAAGTTCTTAAGAAAATGGTATAGTTATAATTTATATTGACTTTGTTTGTTTTGGCCTTTCGGATTATCCAACATCCTACGTTTCGGAAATTTTGAACAAACACGGTGCCCACTTGGCAGCTCACTACTTGTAATATGAATAATCTTAAATGCGTGTCTTCTTATGACTTGATTTACAATAGCATACTTTCTCTAAGGATTTCAAATGACAATATTTTCTAATGTTCAAGATATAATCCGAAAAGGTGCGTGATTAGAATGAACTTGAACTTCGAATCATATTGTTTGCAATAACTAAGCATATTTTGAACTCAGATTCAATGTTGTGCAATGTAACATTGATCATTTTTCAACCAAATGAACTCGGAAAGTTTGGATTTAACAAAACAAGAGATTAAGAAGGGTTAACAAAGGCAATTCCCTTGGTGCTCCTTTGACACATTTTAAAGTCTCTTTGAACACAATCGTCTCGTTTAGACTTTATAAACGTCCTCACACTGTTTCCACGACGCTATACCCATTAGAACGTAATCTATCTTTTAAATATTGATGATCGAAACTATATATGAACCATATGCATAAATGCTCTCAAATATACACTGAACGCATAATTCAAATAACATCTTACTTAATACTAAACAAGTAAGCATGTCTTGACCAAGAAACTGAAGCAGCCAAAGTTGTCCAGAGCAATAACTCAAGTAGGCATAATCTATTTATGTGTGAATGGATTCACAAAGGCAAAGCAACTATTACTAAACCTTCATGGATTACTCATCTATATCAGTTTTAAACATGTGTTTTGAAATCCCCGGTTCATCATCGGTACAACAGTTTCAGAACTAAAACGCTATGGGGGCATTGAATTTGAAAGTGTGATCCTTCGATAGCATTTTTACAGGCTTTTCAATGAACATGCCAACTCAAGAAGTAACAATCTGGAACCTAGAACCTTACTTGCATCAGTAGTCTATTCTTTGATCTGAGGAAAAACCCATATTGTAGATCAATCCAACTAAATGGTCCTATGATCATAGAGACAATTAAAGATTTGGCACTGAAACTTTGATTAAGCAAACTTCTTTAGATAACATGTTGACAGGATTTCAATAAAAGTGCCAACTCAAGAAGCATGGATTTGATATTAAGAACCATAGTTGCATCACTAGACTATTTTTTTTTTTTTTTATCACAGAGGCAATCAAGTAAAAACCTTTTTCTTGATCAATCCAACTATAAACGATCCTATGAAACATCTCCACAATCTATTACCTAAGTTTCTGAAACTTTACACATTGATCAAATATAATGTATCCAATAACTGAAAACGCTGAAAGAGAGACCAAGAAATTTTCTAAATACCGATTTAACTATGGCTGCGATGGGAACACATCTTTCACTGCAGAAGCTGCGGTCAAGTAATTGAGTGTATTCCTCAGCGTCTCCCTCTCTCTTTTTAACCTAGCCGCCGTGTCTTCAAGCTCCAGCAACGCTTGCTGCTCCATCGGAGCTCCTTCGAACGTGCTTCCGACGAAGAACGAAAACGGAGTCGGGAACTGATTCTTCCTCAGATCCTGAGATTCCTTATCTGGTTTCCCATTCAATCTATTCGACAATCGAATAACTTCTTTCATCAAAACCTCAACCTCATTCGCTAATTCGTCCAGATTCTCTTCACCGGACGGTCGATCTTCAAGCCACGTCACTTTCGCGACGAGGTAAGGTTTCGTACGGACTAGATCCGTGACGCGGAATCGTTCCTGACCTTTACAGATTAAGAAGAATCGATCGTCGACGAGACGCTCGTGCTTCACGATTTCTCCGACGCATCCGATTCCAGCTGCGGAGCCTGAAACGGCGTCGGAGTAGACTACGCCGAATCTGAGATCGGATTGGAGAAGCGTTTGCATCATGACTCGGTAACGGAACTCGAAGATCTGAAGCGGGATTGTAGCGCCGGGGAAGAGAACGAGAGGTAGTGGAAAGAGAGGAAGCTCGACTAGGTCATCTGATTTCGGCGGATTTGCGTTGTGGTGCTTCTCGGAGAAGGAGGAGGATGAGCATCGGAAGGAGAGGAGTTTACAGCTTCGACGGTTGATGCTCCGGTAAGTAGCTGAGAGATGTAGAGGTTTAGGATTGAAGGCGGAGAGATACGGCGGAGTTGATTTGAAGGAAGGAGATGAGACTGTGCTTGGAAGCGCCATTAGAGAGAGTGAAGGAGGAGAGATTTCACAAGTGAAGGGCGAAATTGATTTAAGATTTTATTACAGTAGTTTCTTCTTATCTGTTGAGAAAATATATTTCATCAGATATTTTTATTTCATTTCGTGTGGCTACAGATTTGTTTTAGAAATTTTCGTGTTCGAAGAAAATAAATAAATAGGAAGAAGAACATAAATGCGAGCAATTTGGTATCGTGTGAAGTACATGCATGAATGAGCCGTAGGCGAGCCACCGGTCCAGGTGGATAACATTTCGTAGTAACCGTAAATAAGCAGGGGTAATTCTGTCAATATCTCTTGCTCATTTATGAGGAACGGAAGAAAGAAAAAAGGTGATCGGAGATTTTAGATTAGTCCTTTATTTCTCTCAGATTTCGAAGAAATGGCGGCAGAAGAGGGACAAGTGATTGGTTGCCACGCCAACGATGTATGGACCGTGCAACTCGACAAAGCCAAAGAATCCAACAAGCTGGTCTCGATTCTCTCCCTTTTGTTTTTGCTTTTGCTTCTGTTTGATTTGGGAATTAGGTTGTTGTTTTAGGGTTACAGTTTCTAGTGTCAAAGAAAACATTAGGGTTTCCGGTTATGTTTAGTATAGAGATTTTACGAATTACAAGGTTTTGATTTCGATTAACGTAGAGGGGTATTTAAGGATTGTTTGAAGGAGATCACAACATTAGATCGATTGATTCATCTTTGTAATTGTATCTTTTGTTGTGTTCCTCGTTTCGCTATTGCAGCTCAATCCTCTGTTTTTGATTGCTGCTTAGGTTATTTAGGCTTCTGATGGTATGATAATGTCATTGTTTTCAGATTGTGATTGATTTCACTGCTTCATGGTGTCCACCATGCCGCATGATTGCTCCTATTTTCACCGATTTGGCCAAGAAGTTCATGTCAAGTGCAATCTTCTTCAAGGTCGATGTTGATGAACTTCAGGTGAACAACACAAATACCACACTTTCCTTGCAAATTAATCTTCCCCACTCTTAGGCTCTAGAGTTACACTTTAGTGGCACATAGACACACTGATATATTCTATATACTTGTGATGATGTTTAACAGAGTGTTGCTCAAGAGTTTGGTGTGGAGGCAATGCCGACCTTTGTGTTCATTAAAGGCGGCGAGGTTGTGGATAAGCTCGTTGGTGCGAATAAAGAAGATCTTCAGGCGATAATAGTGAAGCATACTGATGTTGCCACTGCTTAAATCAGTTTGAGGCATAATAATAAGGTCTAATTTGTTATTTCTTAATCTAGCTAATCGTAATGGGGATATTATAGATTGGATATGAATAATGTAGAAGTTGTGATCTCTCTTACTGTTTTGACTTTTGAGTCATATATCCATGCTTTTCTTATTGGTCTTTGGCTTTTGCTTAAGTCATCTGTTTAGGTGTGCTGTTCTACCTCCATAGATCAGTGAAACAGATTCTTGCAAAAGAATAGAAAAATAGGATATTTTGTGCGAGCAGCTGTGTCCACGTGTCAGAATTTGATTGGAAGTTGAAATTCTTATCACCACCAAACGTTTCATATATCTTTGCCAAACGAACCCATTTACCAAGGTTCTTCGTCCTTCCTTATCTTCTTCGCTGAGCATATACTCTCTATTACTCTGTAATCTGTGAACTCTCTTTCGAGTTTCGTAATTGGAGATAAAGGAGGAGAAGTTCTCGTAGAGTTAATAAGAGTAATTGTTGAAAATGGAAAAGCTCTTCGTACCATCATTTCCCAAAACTTTTTTGAATTATCAGACTCCAGCAAAAGTGGAGAATTCGCCTGAAGTTCATCCAAAATCCAGAAAGAAGAATCTATCATTCACCAAGAAGAAAGAACCCAATATCATTCCCGACGAGCAATTGGATTACTTGTGTAGAAATGGAAGTCTGCTCGAAGCTGAGAAAGCTCTGGACTCGTTGTTTCAACAAGGTTCCAAGGTAAAACGAAGCACTTACCTCAACTTGTTGGAGTCGTGCATTGATTCTGGTTCTATCCATTTGGGTCGTATCCTTCATGCTCGGTTTGGTCTGTTTCCTGAACCTGACGTCTTTGTGGAGACGAAGCTGTTGAGCATGTATGCTAAATGCGGGTGTCTTGTTGATGCCCGTAAGGTGTTTGATTCAATGCGTGAGAGAAATCTGTATACATGGTCTGCTATGATTGGTGCTTACTCGAGGGAGAATCGATGGAGAGAGGTCTCTAAGCTCTTTCGTTTGATGATGGAAGAAGGTGTTTTGCCTGATGATTTCTTGTTTCCCAAGATTTTACAGGGATGTGCGAATTGTGGAGATGTTGAGACTGGCAAGTTGATTCATTCGGTGGTTATAAAACTCGGGATGAGTTCGTGTCTTCGTGTTAGCAACTCGATTTTAGCTGTGTATGCGAAATGCGGTGAATGGGATTTCGCTACCAAGTTTTTTAGACGCATGAAGGAGAGAGATGTGGTTGCTTGGAACTCAGTACTGTTAGCTTACTGCCAAAATGGTAAACATGAAGAAGCTGTAGAATTGGTAGAAGAGATGGAAAAGGAAGGAATTTCTCCAGGGTTAGTTACTTGGAACATATTGATTGGGGGTTATAACCAGCTAGGGAAATGTGATGCTGCCATGGATTTGATGCAGAAGATGGAGAATTTTGGTATAACTGCTGACGTGTTTACGTGGACTGCTATGATTTCGGGTTTGATTCATAATGGGATGAGATATCAGGCATTAGATATGTTTAGGAAGATGTTTTTAGCAGGTGTAGTGCCGAATGCAGTCACTATTATGAGTGCTGTGTCTGCTTGTTCATATTTGAAAGTTATAAACCTGGGCTCAGAAGTTCACTCTATTGCTGTGAAGATGGGGTTTATCGACGATGTGCTTGTGGGCAATTCTCTGGTTGATATGTATTCAAAGTGTGGAAAACTGGAAGATGCAAGGAAAGTTTTTGATTCGGTAAAGAATAAGGATGTATATACTTGGAACTCAATGATAACAGGGTATTGCCAAGCAGGCTATTGTGGGAAGGCTTATGAATTGTTTACAAGGATGCAAGATGCAAATGTAAGACCAAATATTATCACATGGAACACGATGATCTCAGGATATATTAAGAATGGAGACGAGGGTGAGGCTATGGACTTATTTCAGAGGATGGAAAAAGATGGAAAAGTTCAGCGAAATACTGCAACATGGAACCTAATTATTGCGGGTTACATACAAAACGGAAAAAAGGACGACGCCTTGGAAATTTTTCGGAAAATGCAGTTTTCTCGCTTCATGCCAAATTCGGTTACCATTCTAAGTCTCTTACCCGCTTGTGCTAATCTTCTTGGGACAAAAATGGTAAGAGAGATACACGGTTGTGTATTGCGGAGAAACCTAGATGCTATTCATGCCGTTAAAAACGCTTTAACGGATACTTATGCTAAGTCAGGGGATATAGGATATTCAAAAACCATCTTCATGGGTATGGAAACGAAAGACATCATAACTTGGAACTCGTTGATTGGAGGTTATGTTTTACATGGTAGCTATGGTCCAGCTCTTGAACTTTTTAATCAAATGAAGACACAGGGAATTAAGCCGAATAGGGGAACTCTTTCGAGTATTATTCTTGCGCACGGTCTGATGGGAAATGTAGACGAAGGAAAGAAAGTCTTCTACAGCATTGCGAATGATTACCATATTATTCCTGCTCTGGAACATTGTTCTGCTATGGTATCTTTGTATGGACGATCCAACAGACTTGAAGAAGCTCTGCAGTTTATCCAGGAGATGAATATTCAATCAGAGACACCCATCTGGGAAAGCTTCTTAACTGGCTGCAGGATTCATGGTGATATTGACATGGCAATCCATGCCGCAGAAAACTTATTCTCCTTGGAACCTGAAAATACGGTCACTGAAAATATTGTTTCGCAGATCTATGCATTAGGTGCAAAACTTGGGAGGTCATTAGAAGGAAAGAAGCCGAGGAGAGATAACTTGCTGAAGAAACCTCTTGGGCAGAGCTGGATTGAAGTCAGAAATTTAATTCACACATTCACGACAGGTGATCAGTCGAAATTATGTACTGATCTTCTGTATCCCTGGGTGGAAAAAATGTGTAGGGTGGATAATAGAAGTGACCAATATAATGGAGAACTTTTGATCGAGGAAGAAGGAAGGGAAGAAACTTGTGGAATCCATAGCGAAAAATTTGCCATGGCGTTTGGTCTCATTTCCTCATCCCGTGCACCTAAGGCGACGATAAGGATCTTGAAAAATCTTAGGATGTGCCGAGACTGCCATAATACTGCAAAGTACGTCTCTAAGAGATACGGCTGTGACATATTGTTGGAGGACACAAGATGCTTGCACCACTTTAAGAATGGAGATTGTTCCTGTAAAGATTATTGGTAGAGTGATTAGCCAACCACTAAGGTACAACTTACCTTGATTTCTGCAGCCTTCTTAACCACATAATCACGCAATATATCATTCTCATATTTTTTATTTGTTATTAATCGATTATTGAGTTAGCAGCATGGCGTGAGTAAAATTAGTTGAAGTTTGAAAGCTGAACTCCAATCCTTGTAACTAACTATGGAAGGTTCATTAGTGCGTATCTTTGTTATCTTGGGAAATATGATTCTTTGAAGAATATGATTCTTTTTTCCTGCCATGATTTCCCTTGATAGTGGAAACCAGAATGAAACGTGTATTATGCAATTTGATTTGATATATTCCAGAAAATCCCCAACCACAAACGTAACCTTTTTCATCTATCATAAATTCCCATTAAGTTTCTAAGCTGTGTTGCAGTAGTCAGCTCTCTGTGTACTCGAGCTTCTTACACTTGCTTTGAGTCTTTAGAGATCATCTTAATCTGAGGATGGTATTAACATCTTATGTTGATCATTCCTCATTCTTCAGTTTCTGTGTATCAAAATTTCAACAATAGAAGGCTGATATTGCAGTTATGATTATGTGAGATTAACTTGAACTTTTTCTGCAGAGTGTTGAAGGCAAGCCTGCATCAGTCGGCCCATGGGGAGGCCAATGTGGTCATGCCTGGGATGATGGAATGTACACCACAGTAAAGCAAATAATTATAGCCCATGGTTCTGGAATAGACTCCATACAAGTTGAGTACGACAAAAACGGTAGCTCTGTTTGGTCTGAAAAACGCGGAGGAAAGGGAGGCAAGAAGTTTGATAAGGTATGATTGAGACTCTTTAATTTATCAATATTCTGTTAGTTTCTCAGAATTTAATCACTGTTCTCTTGTTGTTTAGGTCAAACTTGATTACCCACATGAGTATCTGATTTCAATCAATGGAACATACGGTAGCTTTGACGTCTGGGGAACTTTATGTGTCCGATCACTTACTTTTGAGAGTAACCGCAGAAAATATGGACCATTTGGTGTTGAGTCAGGTACATTCTTCGCATTACCAAAATCAGGGTCAAAGATTGTTGGGTTCCATGGGAAGGCTGGTTGGTATTTGGATGCTATTGGTGTTCACATTCAGCCAGTTCCTAAAGAGAATAATCCTTCGTCGAAAATCCTTTTGCATTCGCATCAAAGTTTCCCTCAGGGTGATAAGAAACATGAGTACTCAGTGATACAAGGAAGTGTAGGGCAAAACTTTGATATAGTTGTTGCCCTCAGAAAGAAAGATCCAACTTTGCCTTCTTTTGAATCCCGGGATTCCGCAGGTGCCGAGATCACCAAACATAAGGTGATTTCAAGACTTATGTTATACATTCGAAAAGCAGACCTTATCACATTTTTTACTGGTTTCTTAACAAAAAATAAATCAAATTTGTTTTATCAGTTGGTGACAGATACTGAGAAGTCACAGTCAAAAGTTGAAGGTGGCGCGAAAACATATGGACCATGGGGTGGAACCGGTGGTATCATGTTTGACGATGGGATTTATACCGGTATCAGACAAATCAATTTGTCACGTAGTGTCGGGATTGTGTCGATAAAGGTCTGTTATGATTTTAGAGGACAAGCTGTGTGGGGAAGCAAACATGGTGGCATGGGAGGATTCAAACATGATAAGGTGCGTCAATTTGAAATGTTTTTTGGTCTGCTTAAGTTAAATTACACTTCATATTTCACAGGTTTGAATGTAACTTGCAGATTGTATTTGACTACCCATCAGAGGTTTTAACACATGTAACGGGAACATATGGGCCGCTGATGTACATGGGACCTAATGTGATAAAGTCACTGACTTTCCGCACCAACAGAGGAAAACATGGACCTTATGGAGAAGAACAAGGTCCTTCTTTTACACATCAAATTGATGAGGGTAAAGTTGTTGGATTCCTTGGAAGAGAGGGTTTGTTTCTTGATTCCATTGGTGTTCATGTTATGGAATGCAAGATAAGTTCCCTTAAGCCAGCATCTCCTAACAATTCAATTGTTCCTCATAATAACTCCGGCACTGCGCAAATCGAAAATTCCCCATGGGCTAATAAGCTAGTCCTTGCAGCAAACGGCCATGGCGAAGAGGTATCCATCACCATTATATTTTCCGGTTTTTCAAGTTTTCGGTTTCAAGAATAGCAGCCAATGTATAACAACTCTTCGATGGGTCAATTTATATGGTTTCCGTTTTAATAGGCTTTATCTTAGCCAAATTAAGACCTGTTTGGTTTTTAAATCGTTCTCTTTCAAGTTTGGTTCGGTTTATCTAGATTAAACACCCTAATAGCAGCGTGCGTGTTGGGTTTAAATCATTTTCACAGGTTGATCGTGGAGTCGTCAAAGAACCAACACCGAGCGGTTCTGGACCGTGGGGAGGCGACGGAGGTCAAGCTTGGGATGATGGAGTATTTTCAGGGATCAAGCAGATATTTGTGACAAGAGGAAATGATGTTATCTCTTCAATACAAGTCGAGTACGATAGAAATGGACAATCTGTTTGGTCCACTAAACATGGTGGTGATAACAATGGAGTCGCCACACACAGAGTAAACATCGAATCTTCTTTCAAATAAAGCCACTTTTGTGTTTAATGCATGAGAACCATCTCTAATGCTCTCAAATCTGTGTTGCAGATTAAACTTGAGTATCCAAACGAAACGATCACCTGCATTTCAGGGTATTACGGACCTCTGAACAATTCAGACAGATATAATGTTGTCAAGTCTCTGAGTTTTTACACGAGCCGTGGGAAGTATGGTCCATACGGTGAAGAAACCGGGACGTTTTTCACTTCAACTACAACACAAGGAAAAGTTTTGGGGTTCCATGGAAGGAGTAGCTCGCACTTGGACGCCATTGGAGTGCATATGCAGCATTGGCTTGGCAACAATAAGCCTTATTACAGCAGGGCTAGTTGTTTCAAGCTCTTTTCATAATCTTCTCTGCGCACAACAAGAAAACATCTAACCATTTATGGTTCGATCGACGCTTACAGTCTATCCATTAAGAGTTACTAATACATAAACATAGTCCTAAACGCATTTGAATTTCCTTTCCAGTTAATAACACTGTTTCTATAGACAGAATAAATACGAAAAATCTATAGAAACAAGAAGAGAGTGTATTATAAAATGAAGTAATATTGGCATTTCCGTGCTAAATGTGTTTAATGATCCGAATTGGTTGTTCGTGAGTGAATTTTTGCGTGTTGCAACACTTCTCTGAACACAGAAGCTATTCGATGAGACATATGATGTTCCAAGAACATCTCTTTTACCCTCTCGTACCCTTTCTTCCCCATTGTCCTCCTCATCTTCACGTTAGTCGCCAGCTTCACAATGTTTTTGGCAAGAGGTAACACGCCATCTTTACCAGTGTTGTGTAATAGACCGGTTGTTCTGTTCACTACAATCTCCATTGTCCCTCCTGCTGCAGTCCCAAGTACAGGAAGCTTAAAGGCCATAGCTTCGATTGTTATTCTCCCAAAGCATTCTCCTCTGGCTTGGGAGTTTTGGACAAGAACATCAATAGCCGCTAGATATGGTGCTACTTTCATTGTTTTGTTAACAAAGTGGACAATTTTCTGAAGTTTCTTCTCTTGGACAAAGTTGCGTAGCTCTGTCTCGAATTTCGTCTGTGCGCTCATATCACTTCCTACTACCACTGCATGCATTGTTGGTACCTCAAGTTTCTTAGTCTCTTTGAGTACTTTAAGACTTTCATGGAAGGATCGAAGGAATAGGTCTTGGCCCTTTCCTCGAGATACACCTGCAATTAGAGAAGCACTAGTCATAAGCAAATTAAGTACAATCTTGAGTCTTTTGAAGATTATGTTTCTTGAAGAAACTAAGAAAGAGAAAGAATGTAAGAGATGACTTACTATTAATAATGCCAAATAGTATGTCTTCATTCCTAACTCCAAGAGATTCTCGAACTTGCTCACGAAGAACATTCTTGGCGAAACTATCTTCAGCTACTTCCATCAACTCCTTGCTATTTCCTAGGTGCACGACATAAGTTTTAGGCATTTCAATCCTGTGTTACAACAGTTTAAGAATACACAGTGTTTAGCTTCTGACATTAATATGAAGCCGAATAAGAAGAAGTGCAAAGGGAGGAAACATACCCTAAGCGATCATGAGTTCTATTCTTCCAGTATTCAGCTGTTGCGTGTGAATCAATCATTGCGCCTGCAACAAACGGAAGGTGCTTGACTAAATCAGGTTTGAAATAGTGACCTCTCATCTCATGAATCCACCAGAGTACTTTGGGAAGAACTTTAGGAACATTGTCCTTGAGAACTGCATCAAGCCATTTCCCAGCAACAGCAGTATTCAACACAACCAAATCAGACTTGAGAGCTGTATCTATAGCTTTCTGACTCTTTGCTGATATAACCTGAAGGATTCAATCACTAACAATCATGATAAGACTCAAAGAAACACTATGGAGGTGGTTAGCTAAATTTGAACCTGCACTCCTCGATCCAACATTTTGTGTTCCAAAACCTTGATCACTTCATCTTCTTCAACTGGTTTCTGATTCGTGATCCAAACAACTTCAGATTCAACTCCTCTAAGCAAAAACGCCAATTCCATTAACAACAAAGGTCCACCTAAAATCATCATCATTTCAAGTTTAGCCAGAGTAGAGAATCATCGATCCATAGAAAACACGATCACAAAACATCACCTGAGAGCGATAGCTCATGAGAAACAAGCAAAACGAGCTTCGATTTCATGAAACCGAGAGGATTCAACGATCCAGAAACCGATTGGATCTTAACGTCACTGTTATTATCTTCCTTCTCTCGGCCACATCTCTTTCCACTAACACTACAGGAATCAAAAGTAGATCTCACGAGAATCATTCCTAGTGTTGATACAGATAAAACCAAGAGAATCATCAGAGGCCATCTCTTCTTCTGCAATGTTGCCCACACACTCGTTGATGGCTTCCCCATTGTTCCTTCTCCACAGCTAGAATCACATCCTAGGGTTTCCACAGTCACAATCGATCGCAGTGAAGTAGAAAGCTAAAGAAATCGAGAGGGAAATTGGTATGAAGAAGAAGATTGATCACTCACTGTTAGATCGGAAAAATCGCTAAACAGTGTCGACTCTTTGGAATTCACGCCGTTTTTGTTATTTAGAAGGAAAGTGCTTGCCGTTTCCTCAGCAGGTCCTTGTCTACGATCTTTAACCCAAGAACCTGACGGATTCCTCTTGTTCATATATAATGGGCTTAAAAATTCAGGCCTATATTTGCTAAAAGCCTAAAACTCGGTGATTTAAGTTATATAATCCTAATTATTTCATCATGTATGTGAGTTTGAATCTGAATGAATATGTATTAGTGTTACTACTACTAGCAGAAACCACTGTTACATATACTAGTTGTGTTTTAATATATGGTAGAATGAAATAGTAATAGTTTAAGCTAGCTAGGATTCATATTAGTTTTGGTGATACAATTTTTGTTTGGTTCTAATAATGGAGAGCATAATGATTAATGGGTGATGAAAATTGTCCAACAATTTCGTTCCATGGGATAGAAATGTTACAAACATGAATTTTAGTGGTGATGATCCGTCGTCAAATATGGTCCAACAATGTATGTGGCAATAAATACTTTTACTTTTTGTTACACGGCCATAACTTGTGGCTATTTATTATAAACTTTTTTTGATATATCCATGTAATTAATATATTTGACAATTCGCAAGAATTATTATACTTTTTAACCTTTTTCCTCCAAACATTTTCCTCGTTTAGCATCATCGATCCATCCTCACCTTATATTTTTATTTACAAAAACTCATCATGATTATTAATATACGTTTTTACAGAATCGTAATCATAACATTTTAAAAAAAATTACATAATTAATCATCTAAAATTTCAGTACATTTAATCCATCTCTCACCAGCTAACTGCCTATGTTTATTTTTAATCATCATTATAAATCAACATCCACGTGGAAACAAAGTCAATACAATCATCTCTCAAAGACTCGAAACCTATGAATAATTTTCCAACACAATGGTACTTCTCAAATGATTTTGTGTCGGCTGCTCAAAATCCAATCTCCAACAAACCAAAACGATAACTATTTGTTTTTAAAGTAATATATTAAAAATCAAAGGACAAAGAATACATTAGTGTAGCTATAAAGTTGTTGAACCAAAAAAAAAAAAAAGTGTAGCTATAAAGATAATCTTTTACGTATTCTGCATTGCGGAATATGCAAATACAAACATATAATACAAACATGTATGTGTATAACTAAAAAGGTTTATAACAAAAGAAATAAAAAGACAAGAACTTATTAGAAAAAAGAATTGGGTATAACAGAAGAGTAAGGAGGGACTCACCAACTGGTTGTTAAGTCATTTAATCCCTCAATTAAGCAATTGAGCAGACACACACCCACCTTTGTTTTATCTTCTTCCTTAAACCAGCTTCTCAGGGGTAGTTTTGTAATTTCGTGTTCCTACCTTTTATGACATTTCTATGTTTTCATTTGATAGAGTTTAATTTCCGCTACCATGCATAAATAACTAAATGTATATCCGTTGTATCAAACATTTATAAAGAAAACTTCAAAGATATTGAACTACAAAGTGCTCAAAAGATATATAAATCTATTAAAAATGTATAGAACTTTAACTGTATGATGAAAGCAAGGTGATAAGAACAAATAGTTTTAAAAAACATTTTAGATATGGAATCCAAATCTAGACTCTAGAATATGTGGCTGGTAATAATTTCAATAGTTTGGACCCTCACGTACACAAAACAGGAAGTCGTTATAGTTTTCCACGATACCATGGTAATGTACGCATTATAGATTATTTCGTTTAAATATTTAGATTCGGTTCTTTTCTAATTACAATTATACAAATACTAAACTTTTCATATATGAACTAAACTTTTCACTAATATATTACCAATATCATTGCCTTCGTTTTTTTTGGTAGTAATTTTTTAGTTAACTTATACGGAAAAGTAGTATGAGTCAAGTCAATGACAACACAACATCATGAAAGTATTATATAATCATCAATAAAATCCATTTATTTTTGTGTGTGGAATTGTTAAAGTCGTCATAAGAAAATATTATCCTGTAATCAAGAAACGAAATTTGGTGATTTGCAAGCTCTCACGTGTTTCTCTATGAATGGTTGGCACACAAAAATTCATTCAATTTATTTATACACTAATTAAGCATCAGAAACAGAAGCTTCTGCCGGAAAAGATTAAAAATTACAGGTAGCGGTTGTCAAACTTTTCCGGTAGTGAGATTATCTTATTGTTGATATTGCATAATAATATTTTTAAAATGTTTTAATTTCTTAAAAAATTGGGTTGGTGTCTAAATGTCCCAATGATAAGTTGGGTTGGTTTTTTTGTTCTTGTGGAGTGAACAAAAATTTGTTTATTTAAGAATTTTGCAATTATTAATCGCCTCGCTCTCTCTATCTCTCTCGGGATTGGGTCTCAAATCTTTTTTTGTCTTCAACTGTTGGAAACTCTTCTGCTTTTGTGTTTCCTGATTCAGCCACATCCACACTCACAAACACAATCTCTAGGTTTTTTTTTGAGTTTAAACTTTGATTCTCTCCCTCAGGTAGTTTTTCTTTAAACTTTTAAATTCCAAGTTCTTGATTCTTGATTCTTGATATGATTGATCTTGTACTGTGTTTCTTGATTTTTTTTTTTGTTTACTTTCTGTTTTTTTTCTCCCTTCCTTTTTGAAAATTCTCCTACAGAAATGAAATCATCAAAAACACTTTACTTCTTTATGTAATAATTGAATCTTCTCTGCTTTTGACTCACTACGTTGAGCTACACTTCTTCTTTTTACTCTGCATTTTTTCCAACCTCAAATTAGGGTTTGTTTCCCTCCCAATTTCACCTCCATAGATCGGGTATTCCTCTACGATTGCACAATTCCTGAATTGGGGTTTCCTGGGTTTCTTAAGTTCTTCACCAAAAACATTTGCTTTTATCAAGAATTTGACTTTAATCCTCGGAAAAATTTGGTCCGATTCTGTTTGTTGCTTTCGAAACTGTTTACGATATAAAAAAATTGTTTGGTGTAAAATGATTACGATGTTTTAACCTCTCTTAGATTCCATCAGAAACTTTAAAAATTCCACACCTTACACGACTCTTCTTCTTATTTTTGCAGGATCTCATTTTCCGACCAAATTCATCGAACTGAGAACTCACTGTGATAAAACTAAAAAAAAAGGTGTTAGTTAACAAACGAAACACCAATGGCGGTTTATTACCCAAGTAATGTCGGTTGTTACCAGCAAGAACCAATCTTTCTCAATCATCAACAACAGCAAGCTTCTTCTTCCTCCGCCGCCGCTTCTTTCACCGTCACCGGCAGCGATAATGTTCGAAACGAGATGGTTTTTATCCCACCCACCACCACAGGAGACGTTGTAACAGGAAACGGTGCCGTTTCGAGCAGCGATCTAAGCTTTCACGATGGTCAAGGACTGTCTTTGAGCCTTGGTACTCAGATCTCTGTTGCTCCGTTTCACTTTCATCAATACCAATTGGGTTTTACTCAAAATCCTTCAACTTCAGTCAAGGAAACGTCACCGTTTAATGTTGATGAGATGAGTGTGAAGAGCAAAGAGATGATGTTGTTGAGTCAATCTGATCCTTCCTCTGGTTATGCTGGGAGTGGATTCTACAACAATTATCGGTATAATGAGACATCTGGAGGGTTTATGAGCAGCGTTTTGCGTTCTCGGTATCTTAAACCGGCTCAGAATTTGCTTGATGAAGTGGTTAGTGTCAAGAAAGAACTAAACCAAATGGGGAAGAAGAAGATGAAAGTTAATGACTTTAACAATGGTTCTAAGGAGATAGAAGGAGGAGGTAGTGGCGAGTTATCGAATGATTTGAATGGCAAATCGATGGAGTTATCTACAGTTGAACGTGAGGAGCTTCAGAACAAGAAGAACAAGCTTTTAACAATGGTTGATGAGGTAACTAACTTAACATTTTTTTTAAATTGAATTGGTTTTATGTCCTCTTTGATTTCGCTTTTTCGATGGGATAGTTCAATTGATTTTGGATTGGTTTAAAACCGGATTGATGGAGTTTATGATGATGATTTGGTTGCTGTGGATGTGTTAATGATTGCAGGTAGATAAAAGATATAACCAATATTACCATCAAATGGAAGCATTAGCTTCATCATTTGAGATAGTAGCAGGACTTGGATCAGCTAAGGCTTACACATCAGTCGCTCTCAACAGAATCTCTCGCCATTTCCGTGCTCTTCGCGACGCAATAAAGGAACAAATTCAGATTATTAGAGAGAAACTTGGGGAGAAAGGAGGAGAGTCGTTGGATGAGCAACAAGGAGAGAGAATACCAAGGCTTAGGTATTTAGATCAACGGTTGAGACAGCAAAGAGCTTTGCATCAACAGCTTGGAATGGTTCGACCCGCTTGGAGACCTCAAAGAGGTCTTCCTGAAAACTCTGTCTCTGTTCTTCGCGCTTGGCTCTTCGAACATTTCCTTCATCCGTATGTGTTTCTTCTCTCACAAGTCACAACTTTTTCAATTTCCCATTACATAACATTTAAGAAACTTTATGTTTCTTTTCTGGTTTTTATTTGTAGATATCCGAAAGAATCTGAGAAAATCATGCTTGCTAAACAGACAGGATTGTCAAAAAACCAGGTAAACAGAGCTTTTTGTCTTCACTTTAAATTAGCAATCTTTTTGTGTTCTGCTTGAATAACTCTGGTTTCTCTGCTCTCTAATTAGGTTGCTAATTGGTTCATAAACGCGAGAGTTCGTCTATGGAAACCGATGATCGAAGAGATGTATAAAGAAGAATTTGGTGATGAATCTGAGTTACTAATCTCCAAATCTTCCCAAGAACCCAACAGCACAAACCAAGAAGACTCCTCGTCGCAGCAGCAGCAGCAGCAAGAGAACAACAACAACCTCACTTATTCATCTGCAGACACAACAAACATTGTCTTCTCATCAGAAACTAAACCAGACCGTGTTCTAGGTAATGATAACGAGCCACAACAACCGCAAATAAACAGGTCATCGGATTACGACACTCTGATGAACTATCACGGGTTTGGTGTTGATGATTACCGTTACATAAGCGGAAGCAACCAGCAAGAAAGCAGATTCTCCAATTCCCATCACTTACACGACTTTGTTGTTTGATTGATAGTATCTGGTTCTTGGCACAGAGGACATGATTCTTGAAGCGCAAGAAATGTGCTTCTGCAATTTTATAGTTTTAGGGATAATACACACATTGTCTGTGGAATATATAGTAGATGTGTAGGTTGCTTTTGTGTATAGTACACTCGTAAGCCAAATATTGATATGTGTGTATAAGATTCACGGTGGTATAAAGGATACTTGCAAGTGTGAACATCGTTTTGTTTTAGTTGGAGATCAAACTTTTGTGGTATGTTTCACGATTCTTTCTATATACCACTGGATTATAGAAACGGCATGCAGTGCTAGATTTTGGAAACAAAACGGCAGTAGTTTCTTTGTGACTATGAATCAGCGTTGGAAGTACGAAAGACCTTGGACTATCTCAGTCCTCCGATTTCAATGGCGGTTTTTCAGTTACCAAATTTGTCGCCGGAGATTCTTCTCCGTTTTTCTCCTACACCACTTGATTTTATAAATCGCAGGAGAATCAACTTTTTCCGGCCATTGTCAGCCATCGGCGATTCTCAATCCGTTGCACCAGATTCAGAATCACGAAACCGGATGTTCATTCTCGGGATGGGATTCGTCGGAGGATTTTTTGCGCAACAGCTCAAAGAAGCAAACTGGTTTGATATCTCACATTCTCTCCGATAAAATATAGTGGAAATGAGTCTGCGCCTCATAATCAATGTGATCTTAGTCTCAGCTAGGTATTAACAATTTTAGGGGTATAGGGTGGTTTCAGGGACTTGCAGGAGTGATCCGAAGAAGAAAGAATGGGAAAAGAGAGGAATCAATCTTCATCCATTTTCTGCAGACTCACCTGAGTAAGTGTTTCAATCATGATGGTAATCTCTAAATCTGAGTCTTAAAACTCTTTTGTTTTTCTTCTCTTATCAGATGGAGCTTGCTGCTAGATTCAGTGAAAGATTACACTCACCTGCTTATTTCCATTCCACCTTTAGCAGACATTGGTGATCCGGTTTGCTTTCTTCTTTCATGTGGTTTCTTATTTGATAACACTCTGTATAATAGCTGACATAACCTTATCTTTTGATGATTTCCGAAAGATGTTGCGGAATGTGGAACTTCTCAGAGGCAAGCTTTCGAGTGGAAACCTTCGATGGCTTTGTTATCTTTCATCAACAAGTATTTTTCTCCTTTTAACTTTCCTCACTACATCAATGCTTTTCCTTTCACAGTAGACATGAACTTGCAATACTTTTCTTCTTCTTGTCAATCTCTCTGATGCTTGCAGGTGTGTATGGAGATTGTGGTGGTGCGTGGGTCGATGAAAAGTAAGTTTATTTCTTCCAAATTTCATCTCTTTTGGTCATGATTGATAAGATGGTGATGATAAGGTCGTTTCATCATATTGCAGTCATCCCCCAAATCCTAAAACTCAGTCAGCCAAAGTGAGATTAGCTGCAGAGGAAGGATGGTTAAGCTTGGGTCGTGATCTTGGGGTTTCGACTCAAATACTTCGACTTGGAGGTATCTATGGACCTGGTCGAAGGTTGTTTACAGCTTCTGCTTGTGCATGTAGTGCTTAAACAGGCTTTAAAACTGATTCTCAGAAGGAATGTTTCTTTCTGCAGTGCTATTGATACCTTGTTAAAGCAGGAGCGTTTGTCTGAAGGTCAAAAGAGAAGAGCGTCCCGTAAATTCACGTCCAGAGTTCATGTTGAAGATATATGCCAAGTTCTCCAAGCTTCCACTGAAAAGCCATCATCAGGGTATGTATATATCCCACTTCGTTTCCAGTTTGTGAGATCAAATATGATCATTCTTTTGATACAGATAAATCGACTATTTTGGCAGGGAAATCTACAATGTTGTTGATGATGATCCGGCACCAAGAGAAGAGGTGTTTGAATATGCCTTGGAGTTGATCGCGAAACGTTGGCCAGAGATTATCAACACAAAACCATTTCCATTTCTGTATGAATCTCGGGAGGAGAGTTCATTGAGAGGCGAAAAACGAGTCCGCAACGAACACATGAAGAATAAACTAGGAGTGAAATTGATATATCCTTCATACAAGTCAGGATTGCAAAGCATAGTCGAGAACATGGACAACCCTTTTTGAACACAGCACAGGACTCAATTCACTGAGCTAAATCTATCTCACGTTTCCTTTGGAGACTTAGGGACTCTTAGCAAAGACAGATTTAGCTTATCTTTTTTTCTTCTGCATTCTCCAAAATGACAAATTTTGTTTCATTGGTATACACACCGTTGTCCCATGTGACAATGAAACATGAATAAAAGAAGAGGGATACAAAATGTTAAAGGCAGCTTCTCTCTAATCCAAAGCCAGTTCTCTTTTATGGATGAGATGATGTCATGTTGTCTGATTAAGGCCCTGAAATGCGGTAAAAGACGTGTTAGCAATTGAGGAACTTAACTTTGGCCCAGAGAAAGTGAAAATATTGAGTCTCGTTTGGATCTTTTACCTCAACGCTTGACGAAGTATGACTTAATCTTTTATTACTATGTCTGGGCCAAAAGCTCTTCTTCGAGGTAGAATCCCTGACTTTACTCCACTTGGCGCTGACGGAACCGAAGTGCCATTTCATAAAAGACTTAGACGTGGAGCCTTTGGTACTCGAACTAGGATCTATCTTCAGACCTTTTCCTTCTCGCTTCCCTAGTTTCTGGAACACAAGATCCTCACATTCACTGCGGACACAACTATCTACCACACGGTCCTTACATCTTTTGTAACTCGTTGCCTTCAATTCTTGCTCCGCCTTTAGAGCTTTCCTCGATAATTTAGTAACTTGCGTCTCTGCGCATATGGGACATGTAGGATCATACTTCTCTGTCTCACTTGTCATTGTCTCTAAGCATTCCGCATGGTAAACATGGCCACACGCTAGAACAGCAGAAATTGGAAGGTCAAACCTGGCAATTGAAGACCTCTCAGTTAAAAGCTTTGAGCAATTCCCACAAGTCTGCTGATCTACAGAAGGGGAGCATGAGAATCTGCTACTACTACACCCACTTAATCTTCGTATTCCAGAACCTAAGTGCTCACTCTCAAACGACCATCTCTCCATTTGAGATTGAGCCACGAGCTCACAAAAGGCGTTCATGGACCAGCCACCTTCAGAAGAAGCATTATGGGACCCAGTGGCAGTGTCGTTACTACAGGTAGAAAGCACAAAGGACGACCTTCCTTCAAATGTTGAGTAATTATTGGGAGATTTCAGTCCCAAAATTTGACTATCAGAAACCTGCCTAAACAACTGTTGCCCAGGTGAACCTCGAGCACGTCTAGTTGGAGTTGATCTGGGAGGAAGCGAATGTGTGTGACCTGATGGAAGATCAGAGACCGAGGTGGAACTTGAAGGATTTGGTAAAACTGATGAAACAATATCTGGTGAGCGAACTGTATTCTTCACCTGAAGAATTAAAAGCCGAGAGGGTTAAGAGACTCTAAAGGGAAGAAAAGAGACTATGGTTGGAGTATATAAACTATCTCACCTCAACATGAACAGGACTTGTCAAGGATACATCTGCCCAGAGAAAATAGAAAGATGAGAGACAGCAAAAGAATCATTCATTACAATATAGAAAAAAAAAAGGTGAAATGATATATCTACCAAAAGATGAAATGTCTCTCGACCTAACAGATTTTCCTGTCATTATGTTCTAATGCTACAAAATAAATGTTGTTACCCCTTTGACTGCAATGAGTAGACTGGAAAGAAACTGAAAGTCCTACATTTTTCTAAAAACTCCAAAAGAAGTGTTTGAACTAACTTACCTGAAGGAGATTGAATTGTCAAACTTTTGCCAGTTAAAGGAGCCGTAATCATCGAAGCTGTGCCCATCTCTGAGTCTGCAGGTTTCTGAGAAGCATGACTAGCTAAATCCCTTTCAGATGGAGGCCCTCTCTCCAACCCTAACGACAACTTATCCATACTAATTCCTCTGTTCCCGACATAAGAATTATGATTAGATGAATGTTTAATCTCATCAGCTACACGCCTCCTGTTGTCCCGTCGAAAACTCCATGGTGGTGAGCACACTGGATTATGAATAGCTCCACTTGCAGGACCACTAGGAAGATTTCTATCCTTTGCAGCCACACAGCAAACAGACCCCATAATCCTTAAAGAAAGCTATTGTAATCTAGTGGTGCTTCCTAATCTACCATTGAAGAACGTATCACAGTAGCAATCACAGTTCTGCAAAGAAGATCATATAAACAAACAGAATGTGAAGTTCGAATCAGAGACATTATAGTAGACATGGAGGTGCTACAAAAACCTCTAGGCAAGACATAAATGAATAAAAATTACACTCTGAAAGTATCTCTGACGTTCTTTCTGAAGGCAGAGGCCTCGATATCTACCGCAGAAATCAGCAATGGAACGGAAAAGAAGCAAATTAACAGATGATTCCAAAATCCTGTAAAAACTGGAGACAAAATCAAGCAACGAAGGCAGAAACAAGGGACTCACCAAGAAGAGCAACTAGGGTTCCGCAGGATTGAAACGAGGTATATGAAGATACGGCGGAATTCGAATTCAACGGCTGAGAGCGATTTCAATTACTCGACGGAGATCGGCGATCTCCGTCGATCTGAGAGAGAGAGATGGAGGTTGGGTGCGTCACAGGAGAATTGTGCCACGTCACCCTTCCTCTCTCCTTTTTTTTTTTTATGTTTTCTGTTGTTGTCAACTGTTTTTTTCTACTTTTTTTTACAAAAATTACACAACAATATGTTTTTTTGAACAAACATAACAATATTTCTTTGTTTGTTAACAACAGAATGAAATTTCCTAATGCAACACATGTATGTATGTTTAGACTAGAATAATTGTATAACTAACTTGTAACTATTGGAATCAATCAACACGTGCTCTTTTGTTTTCGCAGCCCATGCATTTATCATTTACAAATGTGTTTAATTCAAATTTTTATAACTACGAGAAGTCGAGAACCACAGAATTAGAATGGATCGGATAAGAAAAATCCACATTCTCCCCCTATAAATAGAAACAACTAGCTAAAGCTCGAAAGATTCATACATAAATCTTTAACACATAACTCTTTTTTCTGTTTAATACAAATGGCGACGATAGAGGACAGTCCAACGTTTTTCTCTGCGGCAACTCCGGCAGCGTTTGAGGTAGGCAGTCTTCCGACAACCGAAATACCGGTGGAACCGTTGGAAAATGATTCAGCAGCACCGCCAAAGCCGGTGAGAATCACCTGTCCAACAGTCGCCGGAACTTATCCCGTCGTCTTATTCTTCCATGGCTTTTATCTTCGCAACTACTTCTACTCTGACGTTCTTAACCACGTCGCTTCTCATGGCTACATTCTTGTAGCCCCACAGGTACATAACTTTATATAAGAAAATAATTAAAAAGAAAGCATTTAACATGTAAAAAAAAAAACAGAACATATGTATATTATTAATTGAGATGGATTCTTACGTGAAGATATATATATATATATATATGTATATAATCTCGAAAGGCTTATAAGTTTAATCATATACTTGAATGACAGTTGTGCAAATTATTGCCGCCGGGAGGGCAAGTGGAAGTGGACGATGCTGGAAGTGTGATAAACTGGGCATCGGAAAACCTCAAAGCTCACCTACCAACTTCGGTAAATGCTAATGGCAAATACACCTCACTCGTGGGCCACAGCCGCGGTGGGAAAACCGCGTTTGCGGTTGCGTTAGGCCATGCCGCAACATTAGACCCATCCATTACGTTTTCGGCTCTAATAGGGATCGATCCAGTTGCAGGAACCAACAAATTCATGAGAACCGATCCGCATATCTTAACGTATAAACCGGAATCGTTCGATCTGGACATACCGGTTGCAGTCGTGGGAACCGGACTCGGACCAAAGTGGAACAACGTGATGCCACCATGCGCACCAACGGACTTAAACCATGAGGAGTTTTACAAAGAGTGTAAGGCGACGAAAGCCCATTTCGTGGCTGCGGATTACGGACATATGGATATGTTGGACGATGATTTGCCCGGTTTTGTCGGGTTTATGGCCGGTTGTATGTGTAAGAATGGGCAAAGAAAAAAGTCTGAGATGAGGAGTTTTGTGGGTGGGATTGTGGTTGCGTTTCTTAAGTATAGTTTGTGGGGTGAAAAATCGGAGATTCGATTGATTGTGAAGGATCCTTCCGTTTCTCCAGCGACGATTGATCCTTCGCCGGAGTTGGAAGAAGCGTCTGGCATCTTTGTCTAGATTTGTGTGATGTACTTTATCAGAGGGTTGATAAATATCTAATAAACCTTTCAATGTTTTCTCCAAGCTATTGTTCATGTCCTAAGTTGCATGTGCATTTATTAGAATCTCTCAAAATTTCAAATGTCAATTAAAAGGATTATTCAACAGTATCTATAACTAGAATTAAAAAAAAAAAGTTTATTCAAAATTTTACAGCTTCTTTTTATACTAAAACCCAAAACATCTAAATATATCTATAGCTATATACAATTATATTATGAAATGTGACCAATCTTTGCAATGATTCATGTAATTTGGTTTAATGCCGTGACAAACTTTATATCTTTGTAACGTATCCTTATTCAAACTTTCTCATATTGTTGTATTCTAAAGATAATGGTATTTGTAATTTAGTAAGGAGAAAGAAAAAATTTGCACAACAATTAACGAGAAATCCAACTCGCGCTAAAACAAGTCAACAACGACAAAATTTGGGCCTGTACTACGACAACGACACAGCAAAATGGAGACAAAACTACATTAAGGTTTTTTGTAGAGTGGCAGCAAATGGTCCTTGGATTGTCTTTATACGAGAGGTGTGTCGTGAGTCTCGTGACTCGTGTGTGTGTGGTGGTCATTTTACTCTCGAGTTCCACGTCTTGTGTTACTCTCGAGTTCCACCAGCTGACCTGCCGAAGAAAGGAATTGAGATAAGCCGAAAAGGATCGAGTTATAAAGCTTGGTCCGATAGATGTTTATATGGGCCTAGGCCCATCTTGGTGATCTATATAAAACAGTTTCCCACATATCCCACTAATGTCACATCCAAACATTAACAACCTTATCCATAACCATCCCTGACACAAGCGCCGTACACGTGGCGTCCATTAGTCTTAAATTATTCGGTGACTGTTACTTGATGACTTGTCAGTTTTCCACGAGTTAAACGGTTCACGTCATCACGGCTAGACACTGAATTCTCATTTTATCCTTCGCTACGACAATTAATCAAGTGCAAGATATTAGTGAAAGGGTAAATTCGTCAATCGAAGCAAACATGAGTCGATAAAATTGACAGAGTCACAGATTCTTTTTCTCTCTCTCTTGTTTGCTCTTTGTTGATCTGTCTGTGTGGGATTCTTCCTTTAGTCCTCTGTTGATCTATCCAGTCGAATCTTACGAAATTTTTAGGTAAAGTTTCACTATTTCGTGTATTTGGATTACAAGTTATGAGATTCAACAGATTTTATGTGATTACGTGGTCAATCTAGCTACTAGATGATCTAAATTTTAGTTATCACTTGTTTTGATCAAGAATACACCGATCATTGTATTTGTGTGGTGATCAGTGATTTCTCTTGCAAGTAAACTAGTTGTATTTTTGGAAATTCGTTTGTGATTTTGTGAATCGAGTTAAGGTTTGGAGATGGTGGTGATGTTAGGCACTAAAAGTTTTCATTTTGACACTTGAATGTTTCTGGGTTCTGCATCAAAAGATTGAAGATGAGGTCGCTTCAAGCACCGATTGTTTGCCCTAGTGTTCGTCCTAGACAACTGGGTGTCTCTGCTTCACTTGTCAACTGCTCTGTTTCGAAAACTAGGAGTCTCAGAAACCAATTCTGGGGTAATCAGACCAGAAATGTCAAGTCTCAGGTTGCTACAGTGAATCTTCGTCGGAGGTCTAAGAGTATACAATGTCTTTTCAGCTCGCATTCTGATGGTACCGGAAGCACAGCAGAGAATTTCAACGAGAACGATGAGGATTATGTCAAGTCTAGTGTATTGGAAGCTGGTAATTTTGGTGAATTATACCATGAGTTGTCTCTCTTCTTCTTCGTGTATGTTGATTCTGACCATCGACGTGTTCTCCGTGTTTTTGTATATAAGTTGAGGTAAAGAGTGGACCAGATGGTTTCATGGTGAAGATGAAGGATGGGAGGCAACTTAGATGTGTCCACAATAATCCTCAAGGAGGGAATCTTCCAAATTATGCTCCACATTCTGCAATTGTGCTGAAAATGGAAGATGGAACTGGTCTTCTTCTTCCTATTATCGTCTGTATGTGATATCAAAACTCATTCTTTTGTTTTTTGTGTTGAAATTTTCCATTTTCCTGGTGTTTTGAATCTCCTTTCTCTGGTTTTCCGGTTTATTGCAGTGGAGATGCCTAGTGTGTTACTTATGGCAGCAATAACAAATGTTCAAATAGTAGGCTTCTGTTATTCTTTGCGTTATGCTTCTGTTTGAAAATCAGTCAAGAGTTGTGAAGAGAGGGTTTTATGGATTTTTTTTGGTTACTGCTTGTAGGCAAGACCCACTATGTATCAAGTGGTGAAGGAGATGGTAGACAAAATGGGTTATGAGGTACGTCTTACGGTTCCTCTCTTTTCCTATCCTGTTATTTTCACTTTAGCAATACAAATTCTTATGTGAGTAACGTTACCAACTTTTTTCTCTACAGGTTAGACTTGTTAGAGTTACCACAAGAGTTCACGAGGCATATTTCGCAGAATTATACCTTTCAAAGGTTTGGCTAGAATGCATCTTCCATTCATTTTTTCGATTGTTGTCTTAAGAATGAGAATCCCTTTCTTCTACTAAGGCTGCTCTGAATGGGATTGCAGGTGGGTAATAAGTTGGAGTGCGTTAGCTTTGATCTTCGTCCTTCAGATGCAATTAACATAGCTGTTAGATGCAAGGTATAATAGTTATATTACCATTACCATGTTTTCCAACTTTCTTTTGAAGGGGAACAATCACACAGGCCTTTCCATGAGATCTTCCTAACCGAATATGGTTATAATCCTCACTCTTTAGGTACCTATCCAAGTCAACAAGTATCTAGCTTATAGTGATGGAATGAGAGTCATCGATTCTGGAAAGCTATCAAAGCAAACACCTGCTTCAGATGGTTTATTGTTTACTGAACTAGATCGGTAATACTAGTGAATTTAGTCATCTAAGATCCTTTGCTTGTGAATTAGACAATATAAAACTTAAAAACATTGTTTTCCTTGTGTAGGCCAAACGGTCAGCCTTGTTTTGATACAAAAGAATTCGATCTATTAAGGAACATGATGCAAGCTGTTGATGAAGAACGGTATGATGAAGCCGGTAAGCTTAGTCTCACACTCCCTATTTAGTTTTCATTGACAATAATGGTATGAGCAAGTTTCTGGGTTTCTTATGTTCTTGTGTCAAGAATCAAAGATCTTGTTTGGTTTCTCCATGATTTTGCTTTTGCAGCTGAGTGGAGAGACAAGCTTGGCCAGTTTCAGGCAAAACGCAAATTAAGGAAATACACATGACAGGTATAGTTACAAAAAAAAAAGGCTAATCCAGTAGTTTTTTTACACATGAACAAAATTAGTAATTTTTGCTCTGTTATTCTTAATGCAGCTCGCAGACAGATACATAATTTATGTAAATAATAAAGAAGCCAATTACCATTTGCCGAAGCTGTAATCATGACGCACTTGCAAAAGAAAAATATCTCTCTAGTATATGATACTTTTCTCTATCTACACTTGTGCACGTAGTTGATTCTCAAGAAACGGACAAAATAAAAAAAATGTTATGTAATTGTAGCGTGATCGTGATGTGATGTGATGTGATGTGTACAATATACATTAATCTTCTGTAATGTATGGTAAGCCTAAGCCTTCTCTAATTAAATATGCTTTTAGTTTTTGTCATTTGTCTTTGCCACATTATTGACATATATAAATAAATAAACTATACTGTATAATTCATTAGAAAGTTTTAGAAGAGAAAAAAAAAACTCCTAATCGTCTCTGAACTAGAAGCAACCGAATTAACGTGGGACGTAATAACTGGAAGCGAGTTCCCGCCAAGAGCGTTCACATGATGATGATCGAGCAACTTATCGCCACGTGTCTTGATGGCAATAATAATAATAAGTAACCAAAAAAACGAAGAGGCAGAAAAAAAGATCGAATCTTCAACATTTATGGCTCTGATTTTCCGGCCGCCGTGAAAATTAGTAGCAAACAATTATTTTCACGTTCGCATAACGAAAAAGAATTTAATAAAACCCCTCACAGTTACTTCTTCATCAACCCCTTTTGATCCTTCAATTTCGAAAATTTTCAGATTTTTCTAAAGTTTCGATTTTTTTTTTTTGGAGTATCAAGTTCGATTGATTCTTCTCAATGTCGGGTCCTCTTGAACGATTCACAAGTCCATGTAAGTCCCCGATTTTGGCTATTTCTCCAGGGTTTTACAGTTACTTCTCTAAACTAGGTTAATTTTATATGATTTTTGATGGGTTTTGACTATTTAGTTATGGTTGTCTTTCTCTTAGGTTTCTCCAACAATGGTGAGAGAAGAGAAAAGAAGTCAGATTTCGAAGTTTCAGAGGATGATGATAAGAAAACTAGAGTTGGTGGTATTTTCAGGAAGAAATCATCCAAAACCAAATTCAGACATTCCCTGAAGAGGAAAGGGAGCAGCAGTAGGACGAGAAGCATTGACCGAACTCTCTCGCTTACCTTTGAAGACATACATGATGCTGAAGAATTACGATATGTCTCTCAATTCCGACAATCTCTCATCTCTGATCATTTGCTCCCACCAAACCTTGATGATTATCACATCATGTTGAGGTCAATTTTTACATATTCCATGTCTTAAGTTGAGATCATTCATATATGTTTCATCACATGCTGTGTTTAAGTAGAGAGATCATTGTTTGCTTCATGACAATTCTTCTTTCTGCAGATTCCTGTTCGCTAGGAAATTTGATCTTGGAAAAGCAAAGTTAATGTGGACTAATATGATCCATTGGAGAAGGGACTTCGGCACAGACACCATCTTGGAGGTATAAAGTTAGTTACTTTCGTATGTTGTGCAAAAGTTTTTTTGTTACAACGGCCTTAGAGAGTTACTGACTGATTTCTCCACTCCAGGACTTTGAGTTTCCTGAATTGGAACAAGTTCTCAAGTATTATCCGCAGGGATATCATGGTGTTGATAAGGAAGGGAGACCTGTTTACATCGAAAGATTAGGAAAAGTCGACGCAAGCAAACTCATGCAAGTCACTACATTGGAAAGATATTTGAGATATCATGTTAAGGAGTTTGAGAAAACTATTACTGTCAAGTTCCCTGCTTGCTGCATTGCTGCTAAGAGACACATTGACTCCAGTACAACAATCCTAGATGTCCAAGGCCTGGTACATGTCACATTTTAAATATCAAATTATGGAACTTTTTTCTTGTGCGGTTTCCTTAGGCTAATCGTCTTAATATATATTTGCAGGGCTTAAAAAATTTCACTAAAACTGCTCGGGATCTTATAATCCAGTTGCAAAAGATTGATAGTGATAACTACCCTGAGGTATTTGTTGGCTGCCATTGATTTTATAACCCAAACCTGTTTTTGAGCACAGTTTAATAACATGTGATATGACCTATGCGCAGACACTTCACCGTATGTTTATCATCAATGCCGGCTCTGGTTTTAAACTACTTTGGGGCACTGTGAAATCGTTTCTTGATCCAAAGACTGTCTCCAAAATACATGTAACTTAACCGTGGTTTCTCTTCTATGTATCCACTTTACACTTTTTACTGTAGAAAACTTAGTTATATCAATTTGATCTGAATAGGTCCTTGGCAACAAGTACCAGAACAAACTACTTGAGGTGATAGATGCAAGGTAGGAGTTCTGAGTCTTAACTGTTTTGTTTCTTATCATATCTCCAGAATATAATAATAATTCTGACCATATTTGGAACTTGTTCAGCCAACTGCCAGATTTTCTTGGTGGTACTTGCACTTGTGCAGATCAGGGAGGTTGTATGAGATCTGATAAAGGGCCCTGGAAAGACCCTGAGATACTAAAGGTGGAGTGTTTGTGTCTTCATATTGTTCGTTATGTTTCTGTTATACTGATGATTTCTCAGTCTTCATGCAGATGGGCCGCAGTGGTGGGGCGTTCTGTAGGCATGCTGGTGCTTTCCTAAGCAGTGATTTCCAGATATCCTCATCGGATAAGCAAACTTATTCGGTAAGCTTTTTTGGTGGTTGGAACATAAGTTTCTTTTTTTGGTGATTTTTTATCACTGTAATGGTATCCTCTCTTGGCTCAGTTGAAAGTTAGTGACACATCAACAGCAGAGTCAGGGTCTGAATTGGAAGAGATGGCTTCACCGAAAACAAATATGAACAATCATGTACCCAAGTTGACTCCTGTTTCTGAAAATGTAAGTGTTCTCATGTACAAAAGTGACATAGAAAACATAGAAGTTTTTAGTTCTTATACAGGACTTGATATGCTATTATACTTATTTTAGATCAAGGCCAATGGTAGCAGAAGTCCTACTGTTTTATCTGAATATGAAGAGTGTGTACCTATGGTGGACAAAGTTGTGGATGTTGCTTGGCGACCCCAAGAGATGTCAAATGCTTCTGAAGGTAAGATAAGACTTGCGAAAATCGGACATTTATACAATTGTAAAGCATACTTTAAGGTTGCAGACCTAAAATAGCATGTAGTAATATAATGGGATGCGTTGCAGGTCCCCAATATTCATCAAGTTTGGGAAAAATAGGATCAGTTAGTCACATATGGAAGTTTCTAACTGCGTTCTTCATAAACTTTTCCACACTCCTCGCGTCTCTGGCTCTGCCACAGACTAAGGAATTCTCACAGTTGCATTCTTCAAGCGCTAGAGCCGAGCTGTGTGATGAACGAGTAGCAAGGGAATCTCGTCCTCCTTCGCCTTCTCGTTCAACAATCACTGAAAGAGTTATCATTTCCTCTGTTTTAAGCAGACTTGGCGATCTTGAGAAACAGATAGAAACTCTTCACTTAAGGAAATCTGAGATGCCTCAAGAGAAAGAGGAGTTGCTGAATGCTGCTGTATATCGTGTGGATGCACTAGAAGCAGAGCTCATCACCACGAAAAAGGTATATAAATCTATGATCTGATTCTAAACCCTGAATGATGCTGATAATGAGTCATTATGAACCTTGTAATAACCGAATATTTGTGTTGATGAGCAGGCATTACATGAGGCTTTAATGAGGCAAGAAGAACTTTTGGGTTACATAGACCGGCAAGAGGAAGCTAAGTACCGGGTTAGTCTCCTTTTCTAGCTAGTTTCGCTGCCCTTCTAAGTCGGTATCTATGTATTAATGGTTGGGAATATGATGCAGAGAAAGAAGTTCTGTTGGTGAAGAACTCGAGCTTGGGAGGTAATTAGCAAATAGTGCTTGTTCAGGGATGAGATTAACACAGCTAGGTCTGAAAGCAAATATCTCTGTTGATACCTAATAATGTATATAAAATATAAGAAAAAACTTGCAATGAGATTTCAATTTCATCTCTTTCTTGTTGAATTTGCTTAATACTATTGGATTGTGTGAATAATTGCTGCTTGTGACATTGGATTCTGTATTGTAAGGTTCAAAAATAAAAAGAAAAAGGAATGACAAAAATATCAAATCTGAGTTGTGACATGAATTGTATAATGTATAGTTTGATGTAAGATATAGATATATAAAAAGATGTTTATATGTTAAGAGGAAAGGGGACTCGTCGACCATCCACTTGTTTATATGACCAAACAAAGGACTCGTCACAATTCCAAGTACGGTCTCTCCACCCTTTTACTTGTCCTTGTGATACAATCTTCTCTAAAAATGAGGATTCATGTATTAAAAATGCCACAAAATATCGTTATCCTTTTACTATGTGTTGCAAACATTGAATTAGGCTCAACCAACTTTAGTGAAAATGTGAATCGAATCTTTAAATGGTACAATATGATTTGACAAAACAATATTACCATTAAGGACATCATGGTAAGTCTCTTATCAATTATTTATTTGGTTTTAACAACTCTATCAAATTTAAGTAGGTCTATAAAAATTTAAACCAGACTTAACGAATATGATAGCGAACGTCTTTTTCAACCACAATAAAAATATGTAGAAGGGTTTTAAAGAGAGACACATTTGACATAATGACATTTGTATCCACAAAATTTTCAAATCAAAAGATGTTTTGTTTTATGCAAGTAATTTGGTTCGTGATTAAGAGGTTTTGACTATAAGGTTTAGAACTCAACCAAATTATACAAAAGGGAAAATTGTGATATTAACATGTAGACAAATTCACTTTATCATCATCCGATTAAAATCAAACACGTCAGTAAACAATAGTTTAAATTTTTTAATATCATATCAAATTTAGTTTTGTCACTTATTCCACGTACTTACAGTCTATACTCTTCTATTAATTTTTAACGAGATATAATTTTTGAAGAATAAAGATTAGATAGAACTAGAGAAAGAAAAGGACTGAACTTTAGTGCATGATTAGAGAAAGAAAAAAAAAGATTATTTTACTAAACGTAAAGTACATTGCATACAAAAATGATATCACAATTATATGTAAACACTAAAATTCAGTATCATAGACGGTAACTTACCTAGTATTACTAAATTTAGTATAAACTTTTGAATTTTAGCTTTAGTATCAACTATACCTAACGTATGTAGTCGAATCATTTTTTAATATATTACAATTGAAATATCTATGATTTATAGAAAATCGTTGTACAATCATGAAAAAATTAGAGCACTGTGCTACGTGTGTATTATCATACCAGAATTTTTTTTTTTTTTTCCTTGTCTTCGATAGTTCTTAAGAAATTGCAGTGAATAACCAACAAAAATTTCATAATTCATCAAGTAACCATATAACGCTTATGGCTATGATATTTTGTGTGTAACCTATAATATATACCATTTTGTCATTTGCTACCATGTCACTATGTCAGCTTCTTTTGTCTATATCATTTATCTTCCTCATCTTCCCTAACGTCTCCTTTCCTCTTAATTACATCAGTTAATTATAAAAAAAAAAACAGACCAATTCATAACTCTCTCTTGTATTCATTTTTCTTTTAAAACTAGTAATTAATATTAAAAAAGGAAGCAAAATTCTATTGTAAATTTTTTATTTGTCGAAATATTAGCTGCCATAGTATATTACTGTTTTCAAATAGAACTATTGAAATATTAGTGTATAGATTATAAGTAATTACTCGAGTCGGTTATAGAAAGTTACAAATAATGACAAGAAAAATTAGTGAGATTTTAAATATTCTCACACAATTATATAAAAAGATTCGCCATTCTATATAAAAAATAAATTATTTTATTCTACATTTTAATAGTCAATAATTTAGAACGGTTTTAAGTGTTATATTTATTTCTTAGAGTATAGTATTTTTTCTTTAGCATGCATTTAAGTTGACTATTTGGGTTTTCTTAGTTGAATCCCTTAGGGTATAGCTTTTGTTAGATTTACGTGCGTTTGACTCAGCAGTTTGAATTTCCTATAATTTGGCTTGCGTTTAATTGATCATTTGAATTCTCTATATAATATCTCTTAAGTATAACTCATATTCGGCGTATATTTAACACTAATTTCTAAAAAAAAATTAACATATTTACTCTTTCAAAGAAATTGTAAAAACATAAGTTTTAGAGCTTTAGTTTATTAATAATCTAAAATTTAGTTGGTTAAAATAACAATTTAATAGAGGAACACATTTATTATTTTAATATAGATGTCTATATAGAATAGTTTCTTAGTTATTGTTGATACTATTTACTGTTTAAAGAAACACTTATCTGTTTTTTAAAATTCAAATCTTGTTGTATGCAGAAAAATATCAAGTTTTTTTTTTTTGTTACAAGTTTTAATTCAACATTACTTTGAGTTAATGTTACAAACAAAATTACTTGGGGAAATCATTTTCTAGAAAAAAGAAAGAGACAGAGGTACTTATGAATATCTCTCTCCAGCCAATATTATTTCTCTCGCTATACGTTATTCTCCCTATGTTTTCAGACATTTTGGTAATTTCACAAGGCCTTTCAGTTACTTTCTTAATTTATGGAATTATGATGCTATATTCTTTATTTCATTATGAATTTTGGTTATTCAGCAAATTGGCCCGTAGTTCTTTTTTTCTTTCTCTGAAGTCTGAACTCACCAAACAGGTAGACAAACAGTAGCTAGCTGGACTTGAGTCTTCTCTTTCTCCATTAGCTATAATTAAAAGATAGATTTGTGTCACATTCTAATATTTAGAAATAATTAAGTAGTGTCTATAATTAATTATTTTAGAAATATTTAAGTCTAAAATTAAGTCTTATATAGTCAGATAATAATCCAAAATAAAAAGAGAAAAGAGGCTCATCGTCAGAACGTGAAGCAGAATGTTCACGTGATATTACTACTTCATTTGGCAATCTATTCGCGTCCGAAAATTACTTGGCAGCAAAGGCCACGTGGTTCACGACAATTCCTTGGTTTCTTTTACATATTAATAGTATACTAATGAAAATGAAAAAGCATTGCCTATCTAGAGTCAGATAATTGCATGGCTTGCAAGAAATAAATTGAAGATAGTTAATAGATTGAATATTCCTTTTAGTTTCGATTTACTTTTTAAATTCGTTGTTAGATACTTTTATACCAATACCATAGGCCACAAAAAAAAAAAAAACGTGACAAAATAATGTGTTCTCATTTTCTTCAGATATAATAATTCGAATATAATTTGAAATAAAATGTTCAACGAACCATATGCCGTGGTCCAAGCGTAAAAAAGTTTTTCAAAATATTAACTCGGATCTTATTCGGTCTAATTTTTCTTTAGATTGACACTTTATAATATATGCCTTGATCTCGTATTTTTCTAAAACTATTGAGTCGTCGGGGCCTCTGTCTTGTGTTTATCACGCCGATTCTTTCAAAAGTCGGTCGGAAACTCTTATGTGTTGACATTATTAAACCCTACAATTATTTACAAAACAATAAATTAATTTATAATATCTAAAATTTCATATACGTATAGAAATATAAATACATAAATGAAGGTATTTATAGTTTTTTATTCATAAATTACTATTCGTTTAATATTAAAAATGATAAATGTCAATGGCATAAAATCTAACTGTGTATTCGTTTAATTTCATTTTTTATTTGTCGATTAATATACTGGGACCATATATTAGAATATGGGCTTCCAACTCAAAACCAATTGGCAATGAGTGGAGTGACCCATATCCTTTATATATTACTTAGGATCCCTTCCAACTTCCGATGTGGGACATTATGTCCTAATATGCCCCCTCGAGATGATGACTCTTTGGCCATTAATCTCGGAATGTTCGGGCTTAGATCGACGGTATCAATTTTGGGCCTTGTCGATGATTGGACTATCTTTGGGTCGGATCGGGTTGGACATGTGTGGATCGGGCTCTGATACCACATTAGAATATGGGTTTCCAACTCAAAACCAATTGGCAATGAGTGGAGTGACCTATATCCCTTATATATTACTTAGGATCCCTTACAACTTCCGATGTGGGACATTATGCCCTAATACCATATTGCTGCTCAGAAAATACAAACGTACAAGAGACCTAATCTGATATTCTTGCCTACCTTAAAAACTTGAGAAGACAAAACCAAATTAGAGAGCTAGAAACTAACACGTACAATATAAACGTTTAGATATCAGCACGCAGTCGATTACGACAAATCCTTTGACACATCAGTAATTAGAATCGATAAAGTACTTGTAAAGTTGTATATTATAGTTTGTCTATTTACGATTAGTCGAAATTTCAGAAAATTGGTTTTGGATACGCTTCCTTAATTATGTTACTGAAAATATGTGTTTATATATAACAAGCCTTATATATTAACAACGTACAATCCTAAAATAGAAGTTGGCTGATAAATAAATTTACTGTTAAACTACCTACTGTAAATAGATATTGATCAATTAACACTAATCCTTCATCGGTTAGAATCAATCAAGAATTGTTTAGGTTATAACTGTATATATTATATATGCCTGCAATAGTTAGTCGAAATTCCAAGATTTGTATTGATTGTTTCCGTAATAAGTTTATGTTACTAAAAAAAGGCGAGAGCTTAAAATATATATAACAAGCTTTTTATAAGTGTCAACCGTCAAAAATGATTCTAAAATGGATACATTGCCGTAATCGATCAGTATATAATATCCAAGTCTTTAATTTTGTAGACCTAACGAAAAAAAGTTTTACATATCCAAGAAATGCTAAATAGAACACATTTGTTAACATTTTGCTTTGTGGAAAGACATATTTTGTGGTATATTTTCACATTAAAATAATAATAATATATTTATATTTTTAAAGGCCTCATCCAATTCAGTTTTTCCTTATCAACAATTTTCATTGTTTTGAGTTTTTTACCATCGACCTCTAAATGAAAAATAATCTTCTTCTAATATGTACAACAAACACAAAGACTCAGTCCACTATTAGTAAGACTATTCTAAGATCAAGCATGTTTAATGAAAATTTGTCATCATATTTTATTATATATATTTTATTATAAAAGTTTTTCAAAAAAGTTGAGAAGGTTTCGCAAAAGAAAAACTTTGAGAGATTTTCTCAATTTTTTTTGAAAAACTCTTATAGTTAAATAATATTATTTACTATTTGATCATATTTTGTAACTAAAAATTGTAGTGAAAAACTCACAAATGCACATGGTCTAAGTGGACCCAAACAAAAGAAACCCATTTCCATGAGGCATGCCATTGCTTCTTGTTTGCTTCTCTTTTTAAAATTATGTACCACTATTTTCTGCTGTAGATTTTTTTTCTTTGCAACTTTTATTATTGAAATCTAGGATAAATCTAAAATACTTCATGGAATCCGGAAATCATATGAAATAAGCAGTGGCTAATAAGAATTGATCTTCGTACTCGACTTACATGAGATTAACTATTGGACATATAATGGTACCTAATTTTTAATTTTAGTTTTTCCTTTTTCATAGAATTCTTGGCTAATAAATTTCATCGAACCAAAGACTATTTCCGGTTTTGACAAATGAGTTTCTTTATGACGTTTAGCACGGATTAAAACTTAAATTCACTACAATTTACTCAAATTTTCAACAACCTGATTGAACTTATTAACTGTGTGTGGATACCGTTTAAACTTAGTTGTTCATATAGAGAAAAATTGTACAAGGGACCATCGCGATGTGTGGAGAGAGAGAGATCTATCCAACGTACGTACATAAGCTGCATGTAGTTTATACTTTATACCAAAAGAAAAAACACCACAAAAAAAAGATACATGTGGCTAGCTGTCAAACAAAACTCAAAACACTAATCTCTTATAGTCTTATAACACGTCTTTCCTTATATATATCGACCTAGCACCACTTACTATATTCATTAATTAACATTCTGCTTCATCAAAAAGAAAGAGACACAAAGAGAGGGATGGAAGTAATGCGAGTTCTTCACATGAACAAAGGAAACGGTGAAACAAGTTATGCCAAGAACTCCACCGTTCAGGTTGTTATTTAATATAAATATGCATTATATTCTCGTGTACACATACATATACGAGTGAATTATTGTTAAAAGTTAAAACTTAAACATAATTTGGTTCTAGAAGTAGAATATAATAAGGAAAAGTGTATAATGATGTGTAATCTCGCAGAGCAACATAATATCTCTAGGCAGAAGAGTAATTGACGAGGCCTTGAAGAAGCTAATGATGAGAAATTCAGAGATTTCGAGCATTGGAATCGCCGACTTAGGTTGCTCCTCCGGCCCGAACAGTCTCTTGTCCATCTCCAACATAGTTGACACGATCCACAACTTGTGTCCTGACCTCGACCGTCCAGTCCCTGAGCTCAGACTCTCTCTCAACGACCTCCCTAGCAATGACTTCAACTACATATTTGCTTCTTTGCCGGAGTTTTATGACCGGATTAATAATAACAAGGATGGTTTAGGGTTTGGTCGCGGAGAAGGAGAATCGTGTTTTGTGTCAGCCGTCCCTGGCTCGTTCTACGGACGTTTGTTTCCTCGCCGGAGCCTTCACTTTGTGCATTCTTCTTCTAGTTTACATTGGTTGTCTCAGGTGTGTGTACTGTTTCTCTATGCCAAATTTTCACCCCTTATTAGTATATAACAATTACGAACTTTTTAAAAAATTGCCAACTATATATCGTTCTGAAAAATGAATTTTCAAATCTAATCTTATGAGTTATGACAGGAATATCATAGTTGTGACTTGTGGCAATTTTTAAAAAATCTAACATTTAAATATTCAGAAAACCTTTGACAAAAAAAAGAAGTATCCAGAAAATTAAAAGAATGAAATGCTCTATTGTTAATTACTTATTGTCATTACACAAAATAAAATAAAAAAAAAAAGTTAATGAAGTTCACGACATTTTTTCATAAAAAGTAGTAATTCACGAAACAGCACCGAAAAAATATTACGCAAGTAATATACCTTTCATTAAACGAAATTTAATTGAGTGCGTGGGAATCTTTCTCATTCGGGAAACCAACATAACAAAACAGAAATGTAGTGGTCCACATAAGCTTATCATTTTATCAAAATATCACAAATAGACATGCTAAGTTGCTAACAAGTTGAATTATCATCCATATATTTTTAAGGTTCCATGTCGTGAGGTGGAGAAGGAAGACAGGGCGATAACAGCTGATTTAGACAACATGGGGAAAATATACATATCAAAGACAAGTCCTAAGAGTGCACATAAAGCTTATGCTCTTCAATTCCAAACTGATTTCTTGGTTTTTTTGAGATCGCGATCTGAGGAGATGGTCCCGGGAGGACGAATGGTTTTATCGTTCCTTGGTAGAAGCTCGCTGGATCCCACAACCGAAGAGAGTTGCTATCAATGGGAACTCCTAGCTCAAGCTCTTATGTCCATGGCCAAAGAGGTATAATCAATAGCGGACCCACGATTATTTTTTACTCAGGTCAGACATAGCTATTTTTTTTTTGTCAAGCTAAATGTATTTTTTCTCATAATAATAAGTAAAATATTAAAATTTAGGGAGGTTACATGACCCTGCTTTCTTGCGCGTAGGTCCATTGGGTATAATGGTATATATATGTTAACATTTATTTATAACCAACATGCAAGTCACTTACAGTTATAAATGGCTCATATTACTCTATAAGGATTTGACCAGGCCACCGTACTTGGCCAATTAAGTCCTAGTAATGTGGCCCATGTGTTCTTTTCAAAATTTGTTGAGGTTTCTCAAATTACTTAAGTTAGTCAACAAAGATTTTGACATTCAAGTTAGTCAATTTTATATGGCGAAATTTGATATATATACAAATACATTTGATACCATACAGAAATTATTGTAATGCCGAATACTATCTAAAATTTCGAGTTACTAAACATTTAAATTCTAACTATATATATAGCATGCAATCAGTTAATTTTGGAGAAAACATGAATACTTATGAAAAAACATATTTTATTAGTTCCTGATTTTTTTTTTCTTGATGATAAAGTAACAAGGTATGGCAGCAAAACACTTTACCCTCCTCATAATTACAAATACTCAAATAGTTAATAATATATATTTGGTAATTTAAACTAAATTTCTTGATTTATAAAAAAAAAAAAAAAAACTTGATTTCTCTATATTTCAACATAACTATTTAGAACTCAATATATATATTGAGTTCTAAATAGTTATGTTGAAATATATATATATATATATATATATATATATATATATATTGAGTTCTAAATAGTTATGTTGAAATATAGAGAAATCAAGTTTTTTCTCAATATATATATATTGCAGCCTAGATTTTTCTCTAAAACCACCCATGACTATTTCCTACGATTTTCTAGAAATATGATCAAACTAATGCTAGATCTTGGGTTTGATCTAACAAGATCGATAGATTATTGGATCAATAGATTAAAAATAACCCAACCATAATTACATTGGAGCAATATATGATTATCCCAGTTAGTTTAATACTCAATAAGTCATAACTAAAAGGTGCCTTATTTTGTTTCTTCATCTTAAGGGTATAATCGAGGAAGAGAAGATCGATGCTTTCAACGCTCCTTACTATGCTGCAAGCTCCGAAGAGTTGAAAATGGTGATAGAGAAAGAAGGGTCCTTTTCGATCGATAGGCTCGAGATAAGTCCGGTTGATTGGGAAGGTAGGAGTATCAGTGAGGAGAGTTATGACCTAGTAGTAAGGTCCAAACCTGAAGCCCTAGCTAGTGGACGAAGAGTGGCTAATACTATAAGAGCCGTGGTCGAGCCGATGCTAGAACCTACATTCGGTGAAAATGTGATGGACGAGCTTTTTGAAAGGTATGCAAAGATCGTGGGAGAGTACTTCTATGTAAGCTCGCCTCGATACGCTATTGTTATTGTTTCGCTCGTTAGAACCGGTTGATCGTGATATAACATATGCCTATATATATACATGTCTTTGGACCTACAATGACATGATTTGTAAGTTTTCTAATCAAGTATACTGTATATGTAATATCATTTGCTTCGAGAATAAAACAATAAAATAGAGTGTGATTTTACGGTAGACCTATAGATTATTAAAACAAGCGGGACCTTGAAAAGAGAGACATATATGGGTTCATGTAGAGACGCATCAGTCGCGAATTATGCAAATAGACTTAACTTTTGGGTAGTCACATATTTATCGGGGGGTTTCTTTTCTTCTTTTTACTTTTCCTTTTATAAAATGAACACTAATAAGGCGGAATGTGAGTTGTGTTGTGACGTGAGAATGTTAAAAGTGAAACATCACTTTAACTTGCCACTTAGGAGTTGTGCCGTAACAAGTGGAAAACAAGTTAATCATGGCCACTCGTGACTCGTGAGAATGTAGGGCAATACCGTAACAGCCTCTCTTCACCTTCCACGTGTCTCCCAAATTATGATTTTTCTATTTCTGTATTTCTATTGTCCCTTTTGTTTCAACTTTCAGCGCATGGCGTCACCTCCCATGACCAAGACAATTTGATCTTAAGCAGCGAAATGGTTCCATAACCAAAACATTTATTTATAGCCGTTGAAATGTTTTCCATATGCTCATGATTTATTTGTAATCTACCAAGGATCGTGATTAGCTGCACAATACGTCAATGCCTTTAACTCTGTAACACTAGTCTCTAGATGATTTTTTTATCACTACAGAAGTTTGATATACCGATAATTTTCATATATATATGAAAAATGTTTTATTTATTTATTTTGTTAAATTAAATCAAGAAAATGTTATACACCAAATTTTACATACGTTAACCTTGAAAACAAAAACAGAAAAGTGTTTTAAAAAAAAAGTTTACAGACGTTATTCTCTTGGTTTAATATACCTTCTTTAATTTGTATAGCCAGCCTCGATTGATTTATCTGAAAGAAAATAAATGTACACACACCTATTCAATAATTTTAGTCTAAAAAAACATCATGAGGAGTAACAAAACGATCAACACCCCACTCACTCGTTACACAAAATATCTCTCTATATTTATATATGAACAAGCTCGAACCAAGATTGTATACTAAAATTTAGAACTAAATTACACCAAATGGAACATCTTTGCGTCTGTCTTGTCCTCTGCGCTGCGATGCTAGCACTTGGAAAATTTCTCAAAATTATGTTCCAAGATCGAAAGAAATCAACAGCTGATGTTCCACCGGGAAGCGATGGTTTTCCGGTGATCGGAGAAACACTTCAGTTCATGCTTTCTGTCAACAGCGGCAAAGGCTTCTACGAATTCGTCCGTAGTCGCCGTATCAGGTAAACAAAAGAAGCCTCTGGCCCATCTAGCTAGAAGGTTTCCAGTTTACATGATATATACTTTTTATATATTACAGGTACGGAGGTTGCTTTAGGACAAGTTTGTTCGGAGAGACACACGTGTTTCTTTCGACGACCGATTCAGCTCGGGCTGTTCTAAACAACGAGTCAGGGATGTTCACGAAACGGTACATAAAGTCTATAGGTGAGCTTGTAGGTGATCGGAGCCTTCTATGTGCTTCTCAACACCATCACAAGATCCTCCGTAGCCGTTTGATAAACTTGTTCTCCAAAAGATCGACGGCTCTGATGGTTAGACAATTTGACGAACTCGTCGTGGACGCTCTTGGTGGATGGGAAGACCGTGGTACGGTGGTCTTGCTCACAGATTTGCTCCAGGTTTGTTTCACATGCCGCGTTGTATTGGGCCTATTTAGAGAGCCTTTTATCTTTCGGCCCATATAGTAAATGAACCATGGCCCAGTTTTCTTCTCATGTTCTAAAATAGAAATTCTTAAATGATTAGGATTAGAAAAAGCACTATGATAAATTAACTTTAGTCAAATCAAAATTTCATTTATTTTTCTTATTAAAGGCAAATCTTAATTATAATTTTTTTGATGTGGTGATGTTGCAGATAACATTCAAAGCAATGTGTAAGATGTTAATAAGTCTAGAAGACGAAGAAGAATTGGGCTCCATGCAAAAAGATGTGGGCTTTGTTTGTGAAGCCATGCTTGCTTTTCCTCTCAATTTACCTTGGACTAGATTCCACAAGGGAATCATGGTAAGTAGTTTCAATTACCCTCTTTTAGATGTCATATTATATACTAATTTATAATTTAAATTAAATGGGAATTTGGTTTAATTCACAAGAAGTGTCGATCTTTGAAATCTCATATTAAATACTAATCTAGAATTTAAATTAAATGGGAATTTGGTTTGATTCATGAGAAGTGTTGAATGATGCAGGCAAGAGGAAGAGTTATGGAGATGTTAGAAAAGATAATTAGAGAACGGAGAAATGAAATAAATAGTCAAAATAATCATCATGAAGATTTTCTGCAGCAGCTTCTCGCAGTAGATAACTACACTCCTAAGTTGACTGATGCTGAGATTAAGGACAATATTCTGACCATGATCATTGCAGGTCCCATTTAATAACCATCCATCATTTTAGACCAGCTTATAGAGAGGAAAATATAACAAAAGAAAAAATTAATAAAGGGTTAGGAAAAATAAAAATAAAAATATCAAATATTAGTTGCATCTTAATTATAATTTATGATGAATCCGGTTTATACAAAAAGATATTTTCAAATACAGGACAGGACACGACGGCTAGTGCTCTAACATGGATGATCAAGTACCTCGGTGAAAATCAGAAGGTTTTGGATATTCTTATTGTAAGTTCTATAATTAGTTTCTCATGTGGAATATTTTAACAATTATTTAGCACTTTTATTTATGCATTTCAATTTCAATAAAGACAAATTTAAAGGGTTTTGTTTTTTAAAACATGTCATTGTCTTTGTCTGTCAACAGGAAGAGCAATCTCAGCTTACAAATAATAAGGCGTCAAATAAACCTTTTCTTGAACTAGAAGATCTCAGTGAAATGCCATATGCCTCAAAGGTAATATATAAACGTTTTTCTCAATGAACTAACTTGTTTAAAAGTTAAGACTATGTTTACATGTACATATAATTTTTGGAAATAGATGGTGAAAGAATCTCTGAGAATGGCGTCTGTTGTGCCTTGGTTCCCAAGATTAGTACTTCAAGACTGTGAAATGGAAGGTTTGCTTTGATTAATTCCTATATTCTGATTTTTTTTTTATAATAAACTATCTCTAGACTTGGATACATTTTTTTTTCCTGATTTAAAAGGATATAAGATCAAAAAAGGGTGGAATATAAATATTGACGCAAGATCCATTCATCTTGATCCTACTGTGTATAATGAACCTCACAAGTTCAACCCTTTAAGGTTTGAGGTAAATACAACACAATTTAAAGTAAATATACTTAAATTCACAGTTCCTTTATTTAAATGCTTTTGGTTTTACTTAATAAAACTAAATTTAATAAAGGAGGAAGCAAAAGCAAACAGTTTCCTAGCATTTGGGATGGGAGGAAGAACATGTCTTGGACTTGTTATGGCCAAAGCCATGATGTTAGTATTTCTCCACCGTTTTATAACCACTTACAGGTTAGTACGATTTTTTTATATTTAGTATTAGCAAAATTTGAATAATTCTGTATAACAGTAATATTTAAATAATTGTGAAAAATAAACTGAAGATGGGAAGTGGTAGATGGAGATCCAAGCATCGAGAAGTGGACACTGTTTGCAAGATTGAAGAGTGGATATCCAATTCGCGTGTCACGTAGATTGTAAATTCATATGTTTCAAATTAGATCTTATATCCCAATAAGTGTTCCTAGATACGATGAATCATATCCAAATGTGTATTATTTTTACGAGTTTGCATGAATGAATGTCATTTTGTCATTACTCTAACACGAAAGACAGGTGAAGTTTCCTCGTTGTCTAGTGTTTTGTGGACACATGATTGATATTCCTCCATAAAATTAAATAACTATATTTAACACCATAATAATTCTAATGTTGATCTATAAATTTTCAGCTAAGGGATATCAATTATAAAGTAAATCAATGATGGTTGTTTATTGACAGGTGAGTTTCTTTTTACTATCATAAAACATTCATATGGAATTTCAGAGTACTATAATATTTAACTGTGGAGATTTCTAGTCAAGTGATTCTATGCTCAAATGAGCTTATTAAGATAAAATAAACTAAGAATTTGAATAGTTCATGAAGAGCTTTATTATGCAAAGAAACTAAAATGAGAGAAAGCTTAAATTGTCACCAAGATCAAATGATTCTAGATTTGATATTTCATAAGATGAGAATAAGAGAGTTGCTCCAAATCGCAACTCCCAAAGTTGCTTACATTGAGTCTCATAGTACCATATATATATATATTAATCTAAACTTACTAGAAAACCCTAATTACATAGGATGATGTGCTTCTCATGAGACATAGTTGGTGGGCTTCTTGAGACCTCTTATATTAACTACATATAAATTTTGAACATCTAGCATCTAGTAAAAGCGATTATTTTATAAGACTATATTAACAAAACGATAACCATTACACTACTAGTATACGTTATTTATTTGAGATAAATGGGCTTATGCAAAAATAACACTTTCAATACAAATCCAATTTCAGTTTGATTCCCAATTGCTTTGATGCTAAGGAATGGCTCAAAGTGAGAAGCTTAAGTATGTACTTTTTAATTTCAATGTGATAAAATAATCGTACAAGGATATTAAAATTTTTTTAGGAACGGTTGTGTTGGAGATACAATCCAAGTCTCACATCGGAAGTTTGATGGGACAATCAATAATATATAAAGGGTTAGGGCCAATCCACTAATTGCCAATTGGTTTTTAGTTGGAAGCCCAGAATTAGCCCAAATTTAACATGGTATCAGAGCCCAATGTTCAAATTCTGGTGAACCTAGAAAAGTGGATACGGACATACCTCAAACCCGAGTAATGGGGCCCGAGAAAGGGGCTTATTATCGGTCCGAGTGAGGGATCGAGGAGGTGTGTTAAGATCCATGTGGTCCTTGGATTGAAGGGGAGATTGTTGGAGATACAATCCAAGTCCCACATCGGAAGTTTGATGGGACAATCAATAATATATAAAGGGTTAGGGCCAATCCACTAATTGCCAATTAGTTTTTAGTTGGAAGCCCAGAATTAGCCCAAATTTAACAGATTGTACAAGTGGATAATGGTTCGCGAAAGATGATTAGTTTATAATTAAATTCCAAAGCAAGTCCAATTTATGTCATGGACACAACAAAAGTTTGATTAAAGGAGATCAAACAGGTTGTGGATCCTAGGAGCAAGTGTTTTGTTCTAATGTCAGCTTGTGATTATGGATTTGTATATCTTCTTCGTGTCATTAGTCATTACTATATCAATTTTCTCTACTTTCCAATACTATATCATATTAATTAGAACTTTAATATCGTCTTATGTGGGCTTACTTAGAGCAACTTCGTAATCGTTTCCAAAACAATATTTTCTTATAATAATTTTTGCTTCCTCATAGTAGTACATATTCAATATTTAATTATGGCTAGAACTACATTTGTACTATATATTTGCTAGTAGAATCTTCAAAAAAAAAAAGTTAGGAAACTTTTTCTTGCAAGAAAATAATAAGAAATGTTAAAGCTATATAAATCTGTACAAAATGACGAAGTTTTACTTCTGGTTATCAATTTTTACATTTTTAATCTTATTATTGTACTAAAATCACATTTATTATAAGAAAAAGTTTGTAAGTGCCTTATGCCTTGCAACTCTAATACAATTCTGTATGTTTTTAGGTTGTCAATGACAAATGTGTCGGGTCCAATAATATTGTATTATTCATCTCATTGTGAGGACGTGGACTCATGTATGCTTATGAAAAATATAATATAGAAACAACAAAAGTAAAAATGTTGGTGACTTGGTGCCAATAATTTTTAGAACAAACAAAGTAGTGGATAAGAACATGTCTTAATAACTTCATACTTTGGACAAACTTTTTGGGGGGACAAATGTGTTAATAAATAGATTAAAAGGAACTTCCATTGGAAAGAAGATCAACAACTAAATTAAGATTACCAGTTGAAATTTTTCATATATTTTGATTAAAAAATATTATGTAGCCAGCGAGTATTCAATAGCACAATTCGTATAAAAAATAATACCCATGTATGTGTTTAACAAAAAAAGTAAAATAAAATACGCATGTATGATGACAAAGTAACAAAAATGATGCTTTTTAAGAATGTTTATTTATTTTATATGATCGTAAGAAAAAAAAAAAAAACTAAATTACAATAAAACCTTTATAACAAAATTGATAAGATAATAAAATAAAATAAAAAATTCAGAAACTTTTATATAAAAATATAGTCCTAATAATATTACATTAATTATATACATATAATATAACTACTAATGTATGGTTTCAATGTTTTTGAAAAACATAGTTTTTGTTAGAGGTCGTCTCTAATTTTTAAGAATGTTTATTTAAATTATTGTATACAATACAATAATTTAAATAAACAACACTGTGGAAGTCGGATTCACACACTCAAGTATTTTATTAGGTGGGAAAGATTATTCTTGAGGGACAAAAATGAATATGTAAAAACTTATAAATTGGTACGAAAAATTGCTATAGTATTTCTTTTCTCCAGAAGAAGATCCCCTTTACATGGCCATTGGCCTCTATATTTATACATAGATAAACGACATTAAAATGAGTAATTAAGTACAATTATTTCTTCTTAAATGTGTCCGTTTTGATTCTTCGGTTTTAATGCTCAACGTTTGAATTTGAGTTGACTCTGATCTTCATGGGCCTCGCCTCTTTTGGCCCAAGTGTCCTTGAACCGACTTACCCGTGTCTTCTTCACCGAACTCGTGTCACAGTGCAGTCACTTTGGATTCTCGAAATGGTGACAACCACTTCGACCGTCCCTTCGGCTCACGGGTCCAATGGGCTTCATCCTTTATGGGCCATTATCTTGATTATGTGGCAATCTTTGGTTGGTCTCGTACTTCTGATGCGGGATCCGACACCAACAATTAGCCCCCCAAGTTCTTCGAAGTGCTATTCCAATTCGGAGGACTTTAAATGCTCAAGTGGCCAAAGATTGCGCTCGAGAATCTTTCTGATTTCCCGCCGAAAATCTCATCACTCCTTTAATTTCGGCACTAGCCATTTTTAACCAAGTGACATCTGTCATCATTATGACGGTATATTGATTAATTACTATTAAAACGGGAAAAACCTTCCCACTTTCCACACGACTTCCGAGGCGGTTTCATCATTAGCTTGAGGTAACTTCTTTTCACCATTACTCTCTTCTTTTACTTTTGTACTTTAATCAAAACCTCTCTCTTCGTTCCTTCACCAAAACCCTTCTTCGCCGAATCTTGAATTTTTCTTTCTTCCCAATGACTTCCGATTCCGATAGACCCGAGTCTCCGTCTTTCGATGAGAGGCGTTCTAGCAATGACGAGTGCACCCGCTCTGATGATATTGCCGGTCCGCACTATAGGTCCACTTGTACTCTTCAATCCCTCGAGCGGTTGAAAGAGCTTTGCCGGATTCCGCCGGAAATTATGGCGGAAGCACAAATAGCTTCCCCCACAGAATCCCCAGAGAACCATCGTGATGGTTACTTCTGTGTGTATGAGATTTATTTCAAAGGTTGCGGGCTGACCTTTCCTCTTCCCGAAGCCCTAGTTCTATACCTAGCGGCTCTTGAAATCGCTCTTCCCCAATTAACCCCAAATCTTCTCCGTACTATTCTTGGAATTATAACAATCGCGGCGGAGGCCGGTTACGTTATCGGAGTTGCTGAACTCAATGAGCTTCTGAGCGTGAGAAGTTCATCGAAGAAAACAGGGTATTTCTCGGCGTATCCCAATGCCAACAGGAACATCATTTCACATCTTCCGAACAAGGATGAAAATTGGCATCATCCTTGGTTTCTAATTAAGAAAACCCCCGCTTCGATTGGAAATCTCGCAGATTTTCTCCCTTCGAAGTGGTCTGCGAAACCCGGTAGTGATTAGGTTGCCCGTATCTTTCCCGGTTGTTTCTTTATCTTTATTGACTAACACCGTTGTTTCATTTCGCAGCTTTCATCGCTTCCAACCTCCCATCTGAAGAGTTCATCGAATTCTTCAAAATAATTCTTGAAGGGGAAACCCTTTGGAATTCCTTCACTCTTGAACGATTCCTAGAAGCTAACCACAGACTCAGGATGAGTCCGCCTGGTCATCTTCACCAAATTCCTCCCCCTCCCTCAACTCAGGGAATGTCATCTCGGGCCCTTGCGGCCAAACGTAAGTTGCTTTCCAAGCCGATGGCTGAGGCCTGCGAGGAGAAGAAAAAGTTTCTCGCAACTTCTATAGACAAGAAGGACTACAGCAGGACCTTGCTGGTTGATGATGGCAGCACCGAGGGAGCCCGATCTGTCGCTTCCTTCAGATTAACTCCTCGTCGCGATCGTCGCGACTCACGTTCTCCTCGGAGGGATCAATCTCCTCGCCGTGATTCACCTCGTCCTCCCCGAGATGATTTTAGTAATGAACCAATTAAGAACTTGGTTCGCCGGAAGAGAGACAAGTCCTCTCGCAGCGATTCTTCTCCGCGGAGGGAAAAGTCGAGGGCCCGGACTGACCGCTCACCTCGATCATCCCCTCCTCGTGAACCAATGGGTCCTCCACGACCGGTTGATATGTCTTCCTCCTCCCAACCTGATAGTGGAAAGACTGCCCGGAGTGCGTCTCCGAAAAAGGGAGATTCCGAATCTCGAGATACTTCCTCGAGGTTAAAACCTGCTCTTGTCCCTCAAGTCAAATCACTTTCAGGTTCGGTGATTCATACAGTATTCAACGTTTTTTTTATATTTCCATTAAGATTCCGAT